ATGTTTATATCGGCATTTTATCTTGTTTTGTAAAACTATTTTTGATAAACCTATATATATATATATATATATATATATATATATATGAACGAAATCGAAATTGCATAATATAATTTCACATCATCAAGCAAGTTATTGTAAATATATCTGATAAAAGTATAAGCTGAATTCAAGAATACTTGCTATATCAGGTTCTTGAAAAATGTTATTTACAAAACTTAAATCTATTCTGTAGGAAAATTAAATAAAATTCCTAATATAAATTGATATTTCCATATGCAAGATGTCATTCTTCACAGAATAACCAATGACAATTTTATCATAGATAAGAAAATATATTGTATTAGTCTCCAAACAATGATAACCTCGTTACCGCCTCTGACAAACTGTATTCACCAAGTCTCATAACATTTTTGCAACTTGGTATATATTCTCTATACCATATTCGAAGAATCATATTTTTCATAACACCCAGCAACATCTCTACAAACTGTTAATCTCCATGCCAAGCAACACCTGCATCAGATGGTATTGTCCTACGCCTAGCAACATCTCTACAAATTGTTAACCTCGATATAACCCCCGACAGATCACCCAAGAAAAAACGATAAGCATCGTTAATTCATTGGCTTCACTTCAAATCTTTTAATAAGTCTGTCTCATCGGTTTAGATACATTTGTAAAATCAGCGATTATAACCTCCGTAGAATCGATACTGATTTGAAGTTGCTTTTTTAAAAATAGTTAGGTCATTCAAAAATCACAGGCCTGTTTGACTGACGCACAGAGGACACGATGTGACGACATTGTTAAAATATGGAGGTCGTGCGGTGACGTCCTGCCAACTTCCTCTTAATGTTGAAGACAAAATCTTTTTATGTAGGATTGTGGCCAAGCGCCGGACATTGAGTAGCTATCACAGGAAGAACTTTGTCCAATAGCCGAAAAACAGCACAACAGATAGTAAGGGCTCAGAAAGGAAAATTTAAACTATGCTGCTAAACAGGATACAGCCATTAATCTTATGACGTGAAGGGAAAGGCAATAACAGTATTTGGCTGACAGTAGTTCTTTGCAACGCATTTCGTATTTTCCCAACAGAAATCGAATTCGTTACCAGTCAGAGGTCATCAAAATTAAAATTTTCATTTCATTAGGTAAGTTTATTGAGAATTTCTGTTGATACTTTTAATCATTTTTTCGTTTACTTTGATTCTTGGTTTCCATAAAAAGTTTTGTTAAAAGAAAATTGGAAGAACAATATTTAAATTTGTTTCTTCGAAAATGTTCTTCATTATCCACAATCCGTAGATGATAGAAACCAACGTAATTCAATCATTTATCGAGCTTAATTGACCACTTTTCTTTCAAAATTTGAAAACATCAAATACAAAATATTTATAGTTTTACTCTCAATCAAACCTTGGAGGTGAAGAGTCCTCGAAACTATGACAAGCATCGATAGAGAGACACTTAGCACGCAAGACACACAGTTTTATATTTTAACATTTCTAATTTAGAAAATTATTTTTTTAAGAATTAATAAAATGTTTGAAACTGATAATTTCTATTTTGAAACAATTAATAAAACTAAACAGAACTTAAATATGCACACACGCATGCACACACATTGAGCTTTTGGGGGACGTAGTGAAGATAGATTCTACTCCCTCTTCGTCTTTGAAATGAATTTCAGAAATAAATATCGTAGATTTTTTTTTTATTTCCTCATTTGTTTCATATCAGTTTTTCTATTTGGCAAACTTGTAAGGAATGTCACCGACCCAGGTACACGGAATAAACTAATTACTTTTACTCAGACTTCAGTTGCTGATGTTCATCTGCAAGTACTTCCACATTCATTACGGAAATTTCTTTCTTAAAAAAAGAAAAACATTCGTGTTTTCTGCGAATTAAAAGTCAAATATTATGATTCTATAAAAAAAAACAACATTTTCTTAAAATAATTTCCATTCCTGTTTCGAAGGGGATATGAAAAATATGAAGTCTTCCCCATTGTCTATGAGAGAGAAGATCAGTATATCAGTAACCTGAATTATTTAACTGGATTTTGACCTGGATTTTGAAACGTCAGATTACGATGAAAAATAGAAATGCTGTGTAATTTTTTTTTAACTGGCTATGGATTTATTGATGAGGTCAAAATGTGGATTTGTCCAATATTACCTATAATATTGTAGTGATTATTACTATGTTTGCCACGACTACATTTTCGCAACTGTGATTGGTCAAATAATAAATACTAAATATCACAGGACAATTTACTGATCGCATTCACCACACTGAATTTTTCCTACCGTTAATTCACAAACATGCTTTTGTTATAAAATCACCGATTGGTTAATTTTTCATCCAATCAGATATTTTTCGTGTTCTTTCAAAATTTATCCCGCGTTCGTGCTGGGAGCCTACCGGTAATAATACAAGTCCGGATTCATTCCCAAATTAAACAGTAGAGTTGAAGACAGTTGAAGACAGTAGAACTCAATTACTCACACGCGTCTACACAGACTATTTATTCTACTCACTCCGCACGCGCACACACAGACACATAACTTGAATATCAAGCCAAGTTGCAACAGCTCTATTAGTTATACAAAATATCCAATTGAACTTACGGTATGTTCTTCTGAATACACATTTTATTTCAATACAGAACTTTGAACATTCTATTCAGAAAACTTGCTTAATTACAGTTCCTTATTCAACTAACAGATAAAGGGAAAGTACTTTTTTCTCCTTATTATACACACATTACAAAAATTGCTTTGTATTTGTTGATTTTAATATATATTTTATCGTTGAAACACAAATCGGTTTCCCATTGTTTTTCCTTGATTTAAAAAAAATGTATAAATGTTAAATGCTCTTCAACACGCAGCCACATTAATCTTTTCAACAAACACCATTTACATTGGTAACCCCAACGTTTAAGGAAAATAGCATTTACAATATCATTTTGATACTGTTTATTTTTAGGCCTGGATGCTTGAAAGAATGATTGATAAAATTAACAGAGACCAATAAACATTCAGGCAAACAACAGTATGAGCTGTTTCTTTTTGTTAAACTATTGAAGGTTTGTGGTGAATTTGACAATGGAACTTGAATATAGAAACGAATATTTTCAATCTGGTTGCTTTTTGCTCAATGAATTTAGTCAGCGAAAGCTGAAGAAACCTCGATATATCTTCAAGCTCCACTAATGTTTGAAACATTATTAATATAAATGTTAAATTTTCTGCCGTTCCTGTTTGCAACAAGGAATTCTCTCATGGCCACGAAAAAAAAAAAATACAAAACCTTCCTTTTAAGATGTTCGCCACTGTCATTATTCCTTCTTTACATCGTGAATAAAAAACATCAGCACATTTAAACACAACTACTTTAGGTACTACTTTTACTTTGAACTAAATTACTAGAAAACAAAGACACGTTTTAAATTCTTGTGAATACAAAAGTCACGAGCTTTTGTGTCATTCTAGTTTTTATTTACATATGGAATATTGTCCATATCTTTGTTGTTATTATCACAACGTTTTAGACGTCGTATCCTCCGATGCTTGTCGATACGGCTAACGTTCTGGGAATTTCTAATTGAACTCTTTATCTAATCTAGGTGGATAGATTTTTCTCGTTCCGTTGACCATGTATAGCTAGAGATATCTCGTTTGGTTCTTATTGCGTATTGTTTAGTTACTGCTCATCGCGTTTCCACTAAGGCAAAGTACAAACTGCTCGGCCCAGGGGTTGAACAAAATTTACGAACCAACGCCTTTAATCCACTAGGCTATTGGCGATCCTAAGTGAAGAATATGGAGCCTTAACCTTACATGCTTGTCGATGAGTGTTGCTGGTGCTTTTGTTTCTGTTTGTCATGCTTGACTGCACCCATCGAAGTTTCTCCTTTTCTACTACGACTGCTGCTGTTGAAAGCTTCTTGTTTTTTCTGTGTCTTTATTAACGGCACCCACTTATTTCTATACTAGGCCTACTGAGGAGATACTCATAGCCTAGTATATGAGCTGATTCTTTCAGGCGTTTGACTCTCCAATGTTCTTCTGTATAGGATTTTTACTCCATTCCACTAAACTACTTGATGACTACACTTCTCCCCATACATGATCAGCCATGCCTGATATCATTGTCTTGTTCCTATGGCGGTTTTTCGATGTCCTTCCAGTATTATTTTTACGCGGCGGTTATTTTCACTTTTATATTCTTTGTCACAACTGCAAGGAATGGAAGAAACCCATTTTTTGATCATGTTCTCTGTTTTAGGCTTGATGCAGCAGAGATCTTTCCTTAGATTTTAAATATTGTCCTGATGTATGAATGGCAGATATTCTGAATCTTTTCTGATAAACTCTTAATAAAGGAGAGAGATCGTAGCAGTTTTCTGCTCCTCTTACTTTGCTCTTCTGTTTCTGTCTGCAGAAGCTGATGTTATATTTGCCGGGTTGTCATTCTGATGGGTACGTTCGATGCTAATAATTTCCTGTTGGTATGTGTTTGGGTCGCCACATTTTGATTTTAGTACTTTTTAGTTTATTTTTTTGTTAAAACTTTTAATTTGGAACTGTAATTGCCAATAAAGGTACCAAATATATGTGCGGTTAAATATCAAATAAGAAAAATGCTAGACAGAGAAGTCCATTGAGGGATATACTTGTCAATGGATTATTAATCTTTAAGGATTTGAACAAGCAATGAAACAAAAAACTGAAACTCTATCACAGCAGGATTTTTCAAATTTTATGAAACATGTAAAAACAATAAGAAATTTTCAAATTGAATATAAAAATAAAACAAGACAATATTTGAAGTATTTCGATTCATTTGTTAAGAATGATGACTGAAAATAACCCTATCCACAAATCCTACTAACCTATCCACAAATCAAGAAATAAAATGTCTTTCAATAAATGGGCATAAAGAACCTTTGAAGTCATCTTGTGGACGTATACTTATCCAAATTTATGCGACCGCAAGCATTAATGGTAACCAAATTAAAAAAACAAAACAAAAAACACTTTTGTTTCTTTATTATGTTTAATCCAACTGTTATTTCTAAAAATAAAAGAATACATATATTGGAAATTTGTCGTTATAACTACTTGGCTGTTTTGTTTTAATATCTCGATGGACTTTACCCTCCACTTTTATTTTTAAAAAGAGAAAAACAAATAACAATTGTTTTGAATGAGTGGGTAACTTAGTTGCAGCATGCAAATATGATGTAAGTTGATGTGAAGGCTTAGTTCTCTAGGAAAAAAAAAATTTGAGTTTTCGCATTGATAGTTGCCCAATTTAACTTCTTTAAAAGCAAAGAAATATCTTGTGTTTAGTTGACGATACTTCAAACACCGAACATTGTTTAAAGTTTCTTCGCTCTATTCTACATTCAACTACAGATAACTAACTAACGATCATCCTATGGATTTAACTCGGATGATCCGAAATTCACTTCATCAGGCCAGTATTTTCCTTGTTTTATTTGTGATTGATATTGTTTTAACATGAAACCAATTAGATTAAGCATCAACTTTTATGACTTTTGATCTTAAAAGCAATAAACAACATATTTGACAATGCTTCAGAATTCAAATCTTTAAAGGGACAAACAAAGATTGCATTGTACTTTAGTCATTTTGTTGCAGACTAAGATCTATCTATCTATCTATCTATCTATCTATCTATCTATCTATCTATCTATCTATCTGTCTGTCTGTCTGTCTGTCTGTCTGTTTGCAGCGAGATTCTTTATTAACGCCAACAATATTTTCCAAAATATCCCTATTATTTGAATAATGGGGATCATTTTTAGTGTTTTAAAACTAATTTTCCTTTACTTTTTGCTCTTCCTTCGCATTGATCTTTCTCCATCTTTATCACTCCATTTCACCCAACTCTCATTGTCTTTGTCTTTTCCTAATCTGTTTACCTATTCCAGTCTCTCTCTCTCTCTTTCTTACCAATCTCCTTGAGTCTCTTTCTTTCTCTCTTTCTCTTCTCTTTCTCTTCTTCTGCATTTTACTTTGCGTCGTTCTCTGTCTCCTTTCACTTTAACTGAACACACATACTTCTCGTCTTTTGTTTTCTTTTTTCATCTGTTCAATCAATTTGTGACAATTTCTCTTTTTAGGCCTCACACATTGCCTAAGAAATGGCTGACAAAATTTCCGGTACACTATCAATTTTGCTGCCTCTCATTTTCATGTGCATAGATATTAATCGATCAAATGCCTGTAAGTTCATCGGTTTTTATTTTTTTTTTCCAATAAATGAAAACAAATTCATTTGCAGAAGACATTCAGTGAATGAAAGACAATACAGAAAAGCAAATAATTATTAGATTTCCATTTTTAAGAAAACAAGTAACGTAATCAATAACAATTAAATAATTGTATTTAAAACCCATCATCAACTTTAGCAATTCTTGAATAAAATGTAACGATTTTTTTTCTTTTTCGTCACGGAGAAAATATCTAAATATAAAATTATAAACATAACAATATTTACTTTCAAATCTTCTTTATTGCTTTAATTACAGAAAGCGTTTTGTTTATCTTTCAGATTCAAAAAGATGCTTAGGTAAGTTCAAATGTATTTTTTCTATTTCTGTGTGAAACTGCATATCTATTTCAGTTTGATAGCAGCCCTTTGATATTTGATAACAGCAAACTCATTAGTAATATGGCACTAGTTACATAAAATTCCTGTAACCCAGTTTCTGTATTCTTGTAACCAGACTATTGTATTCCAGCTTGACCACTTTAACAGTTTTCATTCATTCATTTATATATATGTGTGTGTGTGTGTGTTTCAATGGATAATATATACATACTGTATCTACTTATTTTTATACTAATCTTTTCCAGTTGTCTAATCAGTTTCTTGATGCTAAGTTGAAATTCATCAAGGCAGGTGCCGTGTTTTTGTTGTTTTTTGTTTGTTTGTTTGTTTGTTTGTTTGTTTTTGTTTTTTTTAAGCCAAGTACTTTCGACCTTTTCTAAGATCATTTTCAGGGGTAAATTACAAAGACAAACTTATTGTAACTGAGATAAAATCTGCATTCCGTTGTGATATTGATTTTTAACAACACGCGCAGAATTATAGGAAGAAAGTCAATAAAACGTATTCTTTAAATAAAAAAAATGCTACACTGAAGCCGATGTTGTAAAATTGCCGTCCAAATGAAGCCTACTGTTTTATAAACAAGATACATATATAAAATTTGTTTTTCGAAAATCTGTAAAAAAAATGAAGGGAAGACCCGCTTAAATAAAGTTTGCAAACAGGCGTGGTTTAAAGAAATACTGATGTATGGCCAAAGTTGGGACCACAGAAGGAAAACACGGAACACGGATTAGATGTAAGAAAGATATATTAACAACAGGTTACAGAGATAGTGTAAGCGGAGCTTACTATATGTTAGTGTCCAACACTGGTAGTCGTACGAGACTCTCACTGTCTCTCTGTGTCACTCTCTGTCTAGAGTGTTGTGTGGCATACTTAATATAGACCTGGAAGAGTCTATTGTGTAGGTAGTTCCGGTCTCACAATACCCCCCTTCCAAGAGTTTTCTTTTTGAAAAGGAGAGAAAAAAATAAAACTGTTAATACTTTTTCCTCTTGGGATTTACTCGAGCGGTTGAATAAATTTCCTTTTCCTTCCTGAGCGTCGCACTTCAGGAGAGACTTGGGGAATGTCGAGATCGAACTAGAGATCTTGATGCGTGAGCCACAGCTTTTCGCGAACCATCTGGCAGTTTATGTAAAATGCAAGTACCAATGCCGTACGAGCTTGCATCACTTGCGACTATAATGTCGAGACTAGGGTCGTAATGGGTGAGGGAGAGGTCCGAAGTAAGAGTTTTCTTGATCTTCTCGAACACGTCTTGGAATTCCGGGGTCCATGACCATGGTTTGTCCTTTTTTAAAAGTTGGTTGAGAGGCCCTCTCAAATTTTGCATGTTCTTAATGAACCCTTGGTAAAAGTTAGCTAGGCTGCGGAAGCTTTGTAACGCTTGAACGTTATCTGGGGCCGGCATGTTTCTGATCGCGTTGGCTCGTATTTGATTGGACTTCTTTTTTACGTAGACCGTAGTTGCTGCCCACTCGCTGCAATCTGTTTTTGATGGAATACCTGCTTGTTCGAGTCTATCTAACTCTTTGTTAATTTGCTCTAGAGCAGCGAAAGGGACATTCCGTTTCTTTTTGAATACCGGTTGTGCACCGTCCTTCACCTTGAACTTAGCTTTCATTTTAGTCCATTTCCCAAGGCCGCCAGAAAAAACCTGGGGAAATTGTTGTTTGAGTTCCTTTTTAGATTTACCAAATTGGACGTTGTACTTTGTATCTTGCGACAAAATGTACTCATTGGGCAATCCCAAAGATTGAATTTTTCTATCCAATCTGTTCCAAATAAGTTGTCTGAAGTTTTTTCAATACGTAGGCTTTGATCTTTTGGTAACTCCATTTAGTGTTACTGTAAGTATTACCTCGCCTAAAATGTTAATCTTTTCGCCAGTTACGGATTTTTGCTGTTTTATCCGTTTTTAATAAGGTCGGCTTGTTCAATTTTCGCCAAGTACGCCAGTTAATGGTTGAAAGATCGGAACCCGAGTCAAGCTCGAATTTAATGGACTTATTGAAAATATCCACTATTACATATTTTCTTAAATTCCTATCGACAATATTGTCAGATTGAGCTTGCCTAATTTTATTTTTGGGTTTTCTCGTTCTGTTGGCGTACCAGCACGAAGTTAAAATATGCTCACTTTTATTGAAATTTTTGCAATATTTTTTGTTCTTAACTGGACAGAATTTCATCCAATGCCATTTACCACAATGGTAACATGGTCCGGGCGGTTTCTTTAACTTATTTGGGTTTTGGTTACTGCGTAATTTAGGACATGAGATTTGCCTTTTGTCTTTTTGAGGGGAATAGGAGGTAGACTTACTTCTGATTTTATTAATCTGAGCTACACCTGATTCCTCGATAGTGTTTGAGTCACGCTTTACAGATATTACTCTTTGACAGTCCTCTGCCAGTTTTTGACACTATTTAGAGGAAAAAGTTGCTTTAATAGTCTTATGTTTGATACCCAGCCGTATTGGCATACAAGGAAATGGAAAAGCTGACAAAATGGAAAAAGAATCGCTGAATATGGCCCTCTCAAATATAAAGGTTCCATACACCGACTTCTGACACATCATAAAGAGGACCATTAAATAAAAATGGCAGTAATTATAGAACAACTGTCATAAGAACAAACTACAGCATCCAACCAATCATTAGTGAAAGACAGCCAAATTACAGAAGATAAGGAGAGAGGAGGTGGTACGAACCAGTCTCTGTATAGGACATAAATACATAACCCACCAACATCTACTAAAAAATGAGGAACCGTCAGTATGTATCCAATGCCAGGAATCATACACTGTTAAACATATACTACTAAATTGACATATTACAAATCAGATAATGGATCTATTTGAAAATACTGATCCAAGTATCATAATTTCATTAAAGAAATTAGGCTCTCCAGGAAAATATATAAAAGCAAATTCATTAACAAACCTGCTTACCTACATTGTTTTGCAACCAATTTTATAAAACTTATAATTCTCATAAAAAAAATCCCTGTATATAATCGTCTACTCCCAAAAGAAAACTCACATTATTCACCTGAAAACCTTCGGCATTAAATGATCCACCTAAAACAGATCACTCACTCAATCAATCAATTCTCAATTGTACATCTTTCCCCCATAACAGTATTTGCTGACGTACTACCGCCATTCTTTGCGCACACAGTAGCAGAATATAGTTTACCAAACTCTACAGCGTTCTCCGATTATTAATTCCGTTCCACGTGGTCTCAGTTGCACATCACCTGTACCGTTGCAATGCACACACCCTCTTCCATTAATCGCATTAATTCTGCTGATCCCACGCCACATAACAACCATATTCTTCGCGGCCAGTGTTAAAGTACATCCAGTGTCAACAGGGATATTTGCACTTCGACCATTTACGTTTAGCTCTACCTGTAGCTCTCTTCTGCTCGTTTCACTGAGGATAGTATCTTATTATGTGGGCAGTCCGCTTTACAGTCTTTCACTCTGGCATCTGAAACATCGCAACTTCAGACTTTACTTCAGCTCTTTTGCAACTACTAATCCTTCCTATGGCAAATGTTGTCCCTTGTATTCCTTTTGCCTGGCCAATACACTGGTACGAATTATTAGTTTACCCATCTCCATAATATGTACACCAGGAAGCCGTTGAAGTGCTATAGAGATGTGATTTTGAAATCTATTTATAAGTTCATTTAATCCTTTTAAGACTCCTTCCAATAAATCCTGCCATTCTCCTGAGATTGTCGGTATATACATCAGTCGATTCACCAAACCACACCACACTGCCCAATTTTTTCATATGCAACAAATGAGCCTTCTGTCAACGCCTCCTTCAATCTCAGCTCTGTGATATCTGCATCACACTTTACTTCCTCCACCTCAAAGTATAATGCAAGGGCGTCACCTTCAAGGTAAAGTAGTATAAGATATAATATTCGTAATTTCTTAAAGCCTTGTCATCAGTGTGATTTTACTGACATATCCCTCAGAACAAAAGGGTTTCATCATCACACTGCTTAATTTTATATTTCCTGCCATTCTTTGCCTCTCTGCGTGTTAAAATAGTTTGTAGTTTCAAATAAGAATCATCTTTTTCTCGTGCACTTGACACTCTCAGCAATGGAGCAACTGGCAAAAAAAAAAAAAAAATCCTAAAGTGACAACAGGAAAAACAACTCGCCAGATATATATATATATATATATATATATATATATATATATATATATATATATATATATTCTTATATATCACCACTGGGTGATCTTATTCCAGTCAATAGGGGTGACATCGCTTGTCTTCAACTGGTTGACTGAAAGATGTGAGTTAGCCGACTTCGCTGAGCGGTAAATTTTATTTTTATTTTTCTCTTTAGGGAACAATGTTGATAATTATAATTGTTTTTATGCGCCCAATAGAATTCTAATTAGAAATCTTTTTGTGCAAAGCTTGTTTTGCAAATTTTATTTTTTGTCATTAAATAAATGTAAAATTCTTTCAAATTTCACAGCTCAATCTTTTGTTTTTCCATTTCCGCTGTTCATAATTTTTGGGATTTAGAGAGTTAACGTTCTCTCTTCGCCTCCTCTGTTAAAGAACTCCTTTTATGGGGAGAAATAATTGTGAGGATCAGTGTAAATGTCTTTGTTTTCTTCTTCTGACAGTTATAATTCCTTGTTTTGTCTCTCTAATTCCAGGTTTTTGGAATCACTCTAGTTGCCAAGTTACCAAAAAAGACTGTGTCATTAAAACTGAGACAAAGGAATTCGACTGTAAAAATCAAGCCTGGGAAATAAATCCTGGCGTCAGTTTTAAATATAATATTACACTTAAAAGGCGAGGTAAAACTTTTTTTATTTCAGTGAACTTAACAAAGTTTTAAATATTTATTCGTTACTAATTCATGACAATCGTTTACATAACGTAAAAACTGAACTTTTCGAAGATGCGACGGTTGCATTAACAACTCTACGTAGTTGCCATGGTTACAAATTGCAGAGTTATTTTCAATAATAATGAATTTCAATAATGTTGAGTCAATGTAAAATACAAAACAAACTTTTATTTACTCAATATACAAACAAGATTTATATGTCAAGTTCTATGCACGTTGACTTACATTAGTGAAAAGATTTTAGTATCCTATTATGTGAAATCTTCATAAAAATGTGAAAATTTGCTAATCCTATCCTATTTAAGATGGGAATATGATCCAAGGATAGAATTTGTCCAGTTACCTTGACCATGCTGGCTAGTGGCGTAGCTAGGGGTGGGGACCTCCCCGAGTGCCAGCACAGGAGTGGTTGATACAATGTCACCCCCAACAAAATTTTTCAACCAGGCTAAGGTGCCAAAAATAGTCTGAAAACAGTGGTGGAGACACAGGGTTTCGCAGGCGGGCATATGAACCCCCAGAAATAATTTATGACTCCCGAGTTTTGTCCCCCCGTCAGAAATTTTCTAATAAATTGTCGGGAAATTTGTGAGTAGGAAAAATAGCAATGTTTTCAGCTTTCATGTGTTTCAGTTGCTACAATCTTGGTTATTAACAAGAGACATTGTTGTAACATTTTATCGGATGATATGGTGTTTTAACTCTGCATCATTAATAACAACAAAGCGAAATACGAAGCCAAAAGTGCAACAATTTCAGTCTTGCCTGTGTATCAATTCGGGGTCATTGGGGTGACATTTGAGCGGACCGCCCCGGGTGACGCTTACTCTAGCTACTCCACTGATGCTGGCACTAGTATTTATCAACCCTCTGAAGATTTGAAATCACAAGGACAAGGACATATTTCTGCAAATGAGAAAGTTCATGTGAATTAGAAACTGAAGAGTGTGCTGAAAAGATCTCAGCCCAACCAAGTCGCTATTTTTAAAAAATCCTGTTGTTTTGTCATTTGGTCAGATTTTGGTAAATCTGTCGAGTCGAGAACACTTCCGCACCTCTTCGTATTATTACTTTCTATTTACTTTTAGATTGTTCATGAAAGGAGAAAAGGAAATATAATGGTTGGAGAGGCGACTTTGATCATATGTCATCGCAAGAGGAAGAGATTTTCAGCAACAGATTATTGTATTCAAGCGAAAATCTTTAATGAGTATGGTGGAGTTGTCGAATTTTCTCTGCGGGACTTTTGAGACTTAGCTCGGAACCTTTTCAGAACTCCTCGAACCAAAGGCGAATGGCTAGAAAATCTTTTAGTGTCACGTCGTGTGTCTGTTACTGATTTCTCCATAGTATGTACATTTTTAGTTTTGATTGTCTTTTCCTGGCGTCTGCTATTTTTACATTAGTTGATCCACTCTTTGCACATATTTTTCTATTTTACTTTTCACTGTCACTTCACTATTGCTGTCTGTGTAAATTAAGTAAAATATTCAATTTTTGTAATAATTAGTCCAAAATGGATAATGAAGAAAGTTTAAATCGTACTTTAGTTGTCTTGTCTTAACCTCGAAAACAGATTTTGAACAGACCTTAGTCAGTTCGATGATCATGAGTGTTCAAGACTAGAAATGTTAAATATCTCTAACGAGTATACGGTAATTTATTTTTGAACTAATATTTTCTCACTTTAGTATGGAAAAAATATTCAACTTTTTTTGTGTGTGTGTTTTTCTTTTGTGTGTGGAAATGATTTGCATCACTAACATTTACTACTTTTATTTTTAGTAAGTTATGTCTGTGAAGGTTGCTGTTGTCCGACTGTTAAAAAAGATTTAAAATACTACCAAAACACATGTCCAAACTGTATGAAGCTTTGGTCAAACCCAGTGGAAAAGGGAATAATAAAACTGAGTGGCAATCATATCATTATGGAAGAGGTTTGTATATCTATCAACATTTTCTGTGATTATCAAATTTTATTAAAATTCTTTTCCATCGTTAGAACAGTATCTATTGCCCATCCGATTTCTGTGAGTTTATTTCCTCAGTGAATAGAGTGGGGATTAAATATCCTTTTCGGAGTCAGTTTTTGACCTTTTTGCATCGCGAGAACAGATAGAATATAGAACAAAATTTTGGGGCCACCCTCTGAATTTCGAAGGATCCTCTAAAAATTGAAGGTTTCAAAACTAATTGACTAGCTCATTCCGACCAGAAGGACTTTCTCTCCCTGAAAAATTTTCAATAATAATAATAATGCTATACTCCACCTGAAGCTCACAAAAAAATTAAATAAAATTTAACCCCGATTAAAGAGCCAATCACAATTAAACAGATACCGCTAAAACAAAGCATGACAAAAATGTCGAGTGACGTCCACCCTGTGTGTTTAGAGGATCCGCTCGGCGTCCCCCAGCGCAGTTCACTACAGTACCAGCCAACCAGCCTGACGTGGGGTTAAGGCAGCAACCCTCACTCAACATCAGCTTCAATACGAGGCTAAATCACAATTTCACACTCATCTTCGAGATTCTGACTTCTTTTCCCACAAATATCACCTCCTTATCGGCTATACATTGTTGTTTGTTTGTTATTTTTCTACACATACGCACTATATAATAATAAACGGCACCACTAAAGCCAACAGTATGGCTGAGATATGTTAAATACACCTTCATATTCTGGCCGCATCAGGAAGCTGTACAAATAATGCTGGACCATGTGAACACAATAAGACCTCTGATCCAGTTCACAATGGAAGAAGAAAATAAACAACTGGCCTTCCTGGATGTGTTAATAACTCAGGGCACAGAGAATGGATTCAAAACATCTGTATATCACAAGTCAACTTTTTCCGGACAATACCTCAACATCAATTCTCACCATCCATACAAGGTGAAGAAAAAGATCGTCCGACACCGTGTAAAGAAACATCAGTGGCGACCCAGACACATACAAACAAAAAATGATCAGCATCAAAAGTACCCTTCAGAATACCAACTACATGGCAAGCATGAGATCAGCGTCTACAGATGGGAACAGAAGGGACAAGGAAGATGACCAGAAAATTGCCTTACGTCAAGGGCTTATCGGAAAGATTCAGAAGATCTGCAGTCCATACAACATCAGGACAATAATCAGAAGTATGTTCCATTCAACGGAGAAATATCTGCTGAGTAAAGTAAAATGGGGGAAAAATGACCAAGAATTGCGTTCACTTGATTCTTTACAGTTATGTTAGAGAATATAAAGGTGAAATAAGCCGCACCCTAAAAGTAAGGCTAGGGGAAGATGGAAAAGCCGTAGTGAGAGGTGGGGCAATGAAATTGGGTATGGCTGATAAGGTATGGAGGGAAAGGGATAGTCATCGACACCTGTGGAATGAAGTGAAAATACTGGACAAGGAGAGTTAAAACCCTGGAGAGCTAGTCGTCTGAAAGAATCAACGCATATACTATGCTATGAAAACCTCCTTAGTAGGTCTTGCATAGAAATAAATACAATATGTGAGCCACAGTATAGTCTTCAGTATAGTCTTAAGGGGGGATATTTATTGCTGAAAAATCTCAAATTTTCAAATGCATTTATACAATAAAAAGTTACTGACACCAAAGAGCCGAGGAATAAATATTGTGAGAACTTCTCTCTAGCACATGGAAATAAATATTGAAGAAAATGTATACCCTTTTTTACCTGCTATTATCAACAGTGTTCATTGAATTGTCTGGTTACCTCCTCCTAATTTTCGAAATTGCTCCTAGGAGACGCTTTCAGGACTATAAATACTCTGCGATAATTTTTTATCACTGTCTTCTGATCTTATCCGCCAACATGTAACCTCGCGCGGAGAACGCCTTCCCTTTGGGAAGCGCATGAACAATACATATGCACACACATACGTACGCACATTTACTCAGTACAAATACTTTGGACCAAAAGATTTTCACATTTATTTGACACATGCATCTTTGTCTTTGTCACTTGTAACTCTTTATTGTTAATACATTATCATATGTTTGGGCATATATATTGGTTCTTGTTGTTTCTTTCATTTATTTACGTGAATTCACATCCCGAGTCTGCCATGTTTGTTGTGGGCATTTCAGAAGACACACATGTTTATCTCTCAACGCATACACTGGCCCGCGACAAAACTAAAGGAAAGTTTTAGTATAATTTCACCGAGTTTAGGTTGACAAACTACCCTTGTTTCATGTACTTCATTGCAAATTTTGACCTATTTTCTCTGAAATCAATATTGCTGATCGTTTGCATCATGAATCTAATGTTCATCTCAGTCTACAGTGTTTTATTTTAAGATTAAATCTTTTTTGTATAATTATTATTTCTTTATTCGTGAACCTCATTAGTTTTGAATAAGCATTTTATAAATTATTTTCACTGTGTTCCCAAAAGGAGATAAAATGAAGAATAAAGAAAACACCAATTAAAAAGCAAAAAAGGTTTTGATATAAAATAGAGAATCTATTCTTAAATATGTTTTTTTGTTTGTTTTTTTTTCAGGCATTACAAGATGGGCAATTTTTGAAAATTCTTATCAAAGATGACTTTCCAGAATCAATTGAATTGTGTCTTGATGAGGGAAAAACAAAATGCAAGTTGCACACCAGCAATGAGACATGGACGATTATTGGCAAGTAAACAAATGCACAATTCTTTCTTATTCAACATGAGAAAATAGATATATACATTCACACCCCCCTAACACATACATAATTAAATTGTGTACATTTGGCCATCACATGTTAAGTGAAACATGTTTTGATAAAATAGATAAATTGTGCCTATTTTAAAACATTTATCTCTGACTGATGCGTTTTACATTCTGTATTGTAAGGATTTACATTGTGAAAAGATTGTTCTGCCTTTAAGTCTGTCTATTAAGTATTTTGAGCTTTCCACTAATTTTCATTATTGCGAAGAATTAAAGTCCTATGGTGACTTTGTACTTCGATTTTAAATATGATGCGTTAGCTATTTTTAATTTCTGAATATATTTAGTGTCATGTGAATGTTCTGTTATATTTTAATTTAAATGTTTGTGATATCACATTATTGAGGTGTTATATGGAATTTGAGAACGTAATTTTTTTTTGAAATTGTTTGTTCCTAAATTATAAGTAATTTTGTTATTAGTTAACTTAATATGAATATCTTTTTTTTTTGCAAATTGTTTTAAGTATTACTGCATTATCAACAGAAAGGTATAATTACAGGTGTATCTAAAAATAGAATATCGTGAAAGCGTTCAGTATTTTGTCAGTTGGTTCAGAAAGTGAAAATTTGATATGTTCTACACATATTACTTGTACGTTAAAATGTTCCAAGCTTGTAATTTGAATTTTGATAATTATGGCCAACAGAAAATATATCACGCAATATTAGAATGCCTCGTTTCTAATTTGAGTAAATTAGTTTATCCATACCAAGAATCTCAATCTGGTCCAGTCCACGCATTTACAATCAAGGGGAAGATTGCTAACTTGACAGTTGTTCAGAAAACACTTGTTGACACCCTTTCTTGTAGAAGGTAGGTGACAGAACCTTATTGGTGAAAAGAGCTGGCTGTTCACAGGATGCGCTATATTAAAACTTATACATGGAAAGTTGACTGGAAAGGAAAAGGGTGTGGTAGGAAAAAGTCAACAACTAAGGGAGATGACTGCATCGCTTCCAAGGATAGTCTAACAGTGTCAATTCAAAAACTTGGGGGTTTTCATAGTGAATCAAAAGCCACACCACACAGACGTGTCCAAGAAACGGGCTAAAAGCATGGCATGTCTAATGTCAAACTACTCCGAACTAAAGAGAGTACAAGAAGCTTATTTGGTATAAGGAGAGAAAGAAAACGCCCTCTTTACTTTACAGTTTAAGGTAAATTTTGCGTTTTATTTGGAAATCAACGCTCCAGTCTGGAGGAAGAGTGGAAAGACAGAGAATCAAAGTTGCTTGAGGTCAAGTGTGAACTTTTCACAAACAGTAATGATCTAGTGTGCCATGTCATTTACTGGTTGTAGTCCATTGTATTATATCAAGTTCAAAGTCAATACAACCGTCTACCAGGAGATTTTAGAACACTTCATTTTTCAGTTTGCTGAAAAGTTTCATGGACATGTTGATTTACTTTTCAGCATGACTTGGCGCCTGGTCATAGTGACATAATTACTAGTAACTATTTAACTGATCATGGTATTCCTGTGTTTATTTGATCAACCAAATTCCCTTACCTGGACCCCATAAAGAATTTATGGAGTAATGTCAAGAGGAAGATGAGAAACAGCAGACAAAGTGGAAATGAAAACCACTGTTTTTGCTTCCATAACACCTGAATTACGGTAACTGATGCAGTCATTCATGAAAAGTCAATTATTTAGTATGTAGATGAACTTTTGAAAATTTCGTATTATAATTGAAATTCCTTTTTGTTTTTGATCAATCTTATGAAATATTCTCATAATTTCAGAAAGTTAATTTTTGATTTTCATGAACTGTAAACCATCTTAAAATAATGAAAAAATTGAAGTATTACCCTTTATGTGTAATGAATGTAAAATATATGAAAGTTTCCCTTTTTGAATTAAATTACGATAAAAAATAACTTTTACACGACATTCTAATATTTTTGTTTTGCACTTGTAATTTTTACGTTTTTGTATCATGTGTTGCCGTATTGTGCTTTGATCTTACATATGACATGTAAATCTACGTGAGATTGTGGTTATAAATACTATGATTGTTTCAGGTATAGATTCTTCAAATTTGTAAACAAAACTGGCCTTATACAAAGGATTACACTGAGATTTTATTATTGAATATTAAATGGAATATTTTAGATATTTAATAACATAATAAATCGCAATTATTTATTGCTATATGTAGGATTTATGAATTATATTTTTGCAGCTGTTTCATTTTTCTATCGTTTGAGTGAATCTGATTACAGCAGAATAAATTGTTTTGATTTACATACTGTTGGGGACATGCAGGATTGTTAATTATATCAGAGGGATTTTTGTTAATGGATGCGTGTTTTACTGCGTCCCGAACAAATAAACAAATTAAACTTTTAATTTAAATGCAATCAAAAAACGAGACATATATAGTTTAGAAAACAATGCAACATTTATATACAATTTATCAATATACAGATTGGACAAATCAGTGTGTTGTGTGCACAAAATGTATGTGTAATTGTTTGATGCGTGAATGTCTCTTGTTTGATATTGTTCGTTAGTTCGCTGTTTTTTGTTTGTGTCGAATATCGTAATTATGAATAATAAGAGTTTTCGAAAAGAGTTTCTTAGAGTGGTCTACCCTTAATCGTATTTGGTGTTTACTTAATTTTTGTAGTGAATATAATTCACTGTACATAAGTAAGTTGAGAAAAGTGTTCACAGAGTCGATCGTTGAATGTTCGAATGTGAGTCAGTAAATGTTTTCGTGCGCGGCAAAATTATGATTTAGAGTGGCGTGGAGTATATTGGTAATTACTCTGCGAATTCGTAAGACTGACTGTCTGAAGTTGGTAATTGTCTTTCTTTAACGTCTGGTCAGCAATGACTAAGACAGGAGTCGGTGAAATGTTACATCTTGAAACTTGGTAATTACTGCTCCTCTTCTTTTATTTATTGTACTATGTACAAATGTGGCACAAGGCCGAAAAGGGGCTGGGGGAAAGGATGGTCATCACTTGTCTTAGAATAAAACTTAGCTAGCCACAACCACTGACCCTATCATACTAAACAATATTCCTATCACCAAAACAACACATTTATCCATACCTTTCTTACTACATCCACCAAAATGCCTCTTTGACTCAATGAAAATCCTAAATACACCCCCTTATTACTGCTCCTCTTCTCCTCGAAGGTTCAAACCTTCTCTCTTTATATACCCACCGGGTGGCTCACTCGAATTTGGCGCAATTTCAGTTTCTGCACGTGAACTTAAAGTGATTGACCAATGGGGTTGCTTGCTTCGTTTCTTGCCGTTTTTATTGGTCGAAGCTTTTAGGTACGTAGGCGTACGATTTGGACTCTGCTTTTGTTAGGTTGGAAAGGTAAGGATAATGGATGTGTCCACAATACCATGTTCAGCACTTTAATAAGTTTTACTAATCTTTCTTAAATAAAATTTTATTTCTTCAATAATATAATTTTAAAAGATATATTTGTGGATGTGTGTGTGTGTGCCTGTGTCACTTAAAATGACTGACAAGTCATTTCTGTTAATTTTTTTCTTGTGTTTTTCTTTTGTACGAAGAAGAGATTACTTTTGGGGGCATAGTGTATGTTCAAATGGTTATTTGTTCCGAACGCTGATGTCTAATCTATCAGCGTTAACCATTTTCAAAGATTCATGTTATATGCTATTGAAAATGGTTTGTAAGTCGTTCGGAAGTAGACATTTTTAAATTTAATTCTCGAATACGATTTATACATTTTTACCGTGTTCGTAATTGATATTGTTAAAAGTTGGTTTGTTGTTTTTATTCAGAACAGGAGTAATTTGTCAGGCATTTTATTGGAATAATACACCATCTCAGACACACACACACATGCACACACACACACACATGCACATTATACTTTAAACGTTATTTTTAGTGGATATTGTGCTAATGTTTTTTTTTATACATTCAGACTCAAACAAAAATTGGACTGATTATTTTGAAAAATCAATAACGAATGGATACATAACAGTAAAACAACCAAGGGATCAAATTGACATTAAATTGGCTATCAAGGTAATTATCATTGATTTTTACTAGTAACTGACAGTCTTTTCATCATTTACCCTTTCTTCCAAGTAACTCCAAAAGCTTTGTATTGCAAAGTGGGAAAAATAAACAAATAAATGACTAATTAAAAATCTTGCTAATTATGATTCAATTTTCGTATAATACTGATTTTTCTTTTCTTTTTATTCTAGCAAAAACGTTTGAATGTGACGTATATTCACTTTATAAATGTTTCGGTGTCAAAAAGAAGTGAGTAAATTTTTTTGGTCAATTGTTACGAGCACAAATGAAAATAGATTATAAAACATGAATAAAGCAATTTTATTTTGTCTACAAGATAGTAGATCTAAAAATGTCATAACATCTGCAATTGAAATTGATTAGGAATTCTGTTTGAAATCCTTCTGTGTTTAGTTTATTTCTATCATCCGCTAAACATTTTGATTGCAAGCAACGCTAACTAGTGTGACTAACGTTAACTAGTGTGACTAACTAAATAAAAAAAAGGAGGAAATCAAGTAAAAATGAACCTCGGGATGCTTGACGGTGCAAAGAAAATGAACAGCTGGATGACAAGTAATAATTAATAATGAAAACAAATTAAAGATCCTCTTAATTTTGAAGCCTATTTTTATTATAAATAATATTTGACAACTGTGATTATGTGATATTATTTGAATATGATTTCAATCTAGGGAAAAAGAACTTATCGACTGTTGTGAAAAGTCATACTTAACTTAGAGATATTTTTAACTTTCTTTTTCAGCAGAGAAAACGAAATGTTTTACTTGTTTGGCACCTGAAGATGTGAGTTAAATTTTATTATTATTTGAAAAGAGTTTCTTCAAGTTTTCTAAAAAATATTTTCTGTCAGAGATAGTTAACAAAAAGACATTCTCTTGTGTAATTAAGACGAGAATTTTTGCTTGTGAAGTAGATAATTTTGAATGTTAGGCGTCAAGGAAATAAATTCTGTTACTTATGTTAAGTTCATAAGTAAATTGTAGGGAGGAGATTTTCTCCACAGTTTCGTTAAGGTTTGTTGTTTTTTTTTAAAAAATCATCTAGGTTTTTCGTTAATATGAATATATTACCGATATATTAAAAAAATATAATAGGTTTGGTAAGATTATTAAAGATTTTTTCCTCACCATAAATCATAAAGAAATTGGATAAAGTGGGACAGAGAGACGAGCCCATAGCTACGGCATCAGTCTGTGTATAAATGTTACCATAATGATCTATTTGATAAAAAAGGTATTTGTGTATTGCAAGACATAAGTAAGTTTATAGTTTATACAGAACTGTTGATCTAATATTAGGAGTGATATGTTTTGTTTTACTAATGTCTGTAGTTTATTTGACCGGGATATTGGTAAGATTTTCAAAATCTAACAAGGCTAGCAGGGTGGGGGTCGTTATTTTTTCCAGTGTCCCTACCACTTTCCCAAACAGTCTGCAAAATTCTCTTATGGAATCAACATCAAATACTCTGTCATATTTTTGGCTTATTTCGGTGTTTTAATGGGGATTTTAGCTTTGGTAAAATTAAGAAATCCCAGAAATCCAACTCTACACTGTAGGACAGGATATGACAAATTAAGGAAGGTGATGTGAGGATTTTGTGAAGACAGTCTACCTGTGTATGAAGAGATACTCACCTCTAAGGTTATTTTCATGCACTTTTATTATACACTGATTTCTTTATGCATAGACTAGAAAAATTGTAATGTGATCATTGTAGCATATGTAATTCCAAACCCTATCATCTTGGACAGAATTTTGGTCCCAAATCACCCAAACTGAGTGTGGGTAGTTTGAACCCCATGGACATGCAATCCTGACAGTAATGGATTGTTTTTGTCTGTTTTGATATAAGACTAAAAGAACATATAGAATTAGGCATGACAATTGTGGCAGTAGAGAAATCAAAAACTCTGATGCTTGTCCAAGCCTTCCTTTCCCAGATTCCTTTGAGTACAGGTAGTTTCAACAAGGAGACAAGTCACACATGAGAAGAGGATGATAGCTGGATGGTGGAAAAAAGGATGGTAGTTTGACATACATTTTCTCTCACTTTATCCAATAAATGATGCCTAATACATCATCCAAAAATAAAAAAAGAAATCTGAAGAAAAATATATGTCCTTGATTCAGTCTGTTGATGCAGCATTGACATCCCTATCAAGGAATTGCCAATAGATGACTACAACCCAGAGATGACAGACAACACAACATTTGGATCAGTTCCCTCATTATTCACTGTAACACACCATTTCAGCCACTCTATTCTTCAGGCTTTCGTAGTTGATGGTTGTATTCCAAGAATTTAATCCAGAAAAATATGTTGTTGCTGTCATCCCTTTAATAGTCCTATTCAGTATTCTTCTACAAGGATTTCTTGGCAACTTGAACATTGAAATTAAGACAACATAGATTAAAAACTTGGTCCAAAATAATCAATATATATTTAGTAACAATAACTAATCTCGGAAATTTAGATAAAAATTATCATTGGTTGTAAATCCAAAGTTGTTTGCACAAATTATTTATTCTGTCTCTTCCATTTGTTATTATAATTCATTTCAATATGCATATTTCTTTCTTTCATTTTCCTTTCTTTCTCTCTTTCTTTCTTTCATTTTCCTTTCTTTCTCTCTTTCTTTGTTTTTCCTAATCAAAAATGCTTAGAATTGGAAATTTACAAGTTTAAATAATAGAAACATATTTTCTCTGTTTACATTTAAGGTTACCACTTTGACCACTCTGAGATCTCCAGAGGCATCAGTAGAGGCAAGGGAAATGCAGAATGGCAGCCCAAATGTCATTTATTCAAGCAGTCAAAGAACCAGTCAAATGTCTACTACTACTGCAAGTAGGCCTTTTTATAAATCCTTCCAGTGTTTTGACCAGATTATTGTCAAACTCATTTGTTGGATACCATAAAAAACATTCATCCATAAATACTTGTTAATTTCAATCTTTTTTTATTCATTATTTTTATGTTTGACTCATTTAGCAATTGTTTTCCATAAAGAAAATCACAAGTTATATTTTTTTCTTGTGATAAATTTTTCACTTTTGTTGAGAAAACTTTAGACTGAATGCATTTTTCAATTTTTGTCTATTTCTAATAAAAAAAACATATTATGCAACAAATTTTTGCTTTCTCCTCAAAATTTGATCAGTTGCATTAAAAATTCACTGTGAGAAGCTAAGAATTAAGTAATTTTTTCTTTCTCATGTTTTTGAGAAATCAAAATGAATAATTCTTCTTGAAGTTGTGGCATCTCAAAATTAAAATTACAAGAGGAATATTTATTATTATGAAATAAGATAAAAACTGCATAAACATTGTTTTACTGGGAAGAAATCTAGAGTTGGAGGCAAGCAGATTTCACTAAACTGATCAGAAATTTATGTTTGTTTAATTATGTTATGGTAAAATTATTTAAGTGACAGATTTGTTTTTTGTTCAGGGAAAGATTTTCAGTTTTCTTTATAATAGAAGAATACTGGGAGCCTAATGGATTAAAGTTTGTGAATTTGTTCTATAGTAATTGGGAGTACAATAACTGTGAAGATAGTTTAAACTTAGAGAAACACGATAAGCAGTAGCTGAGAAGTACTAAATAAAAACAAGATGTGATATTTCACTAAGCAGAACTTGTACATTAAATAAAAGATTCCATTAGAAATTCCTTATAGGTGACTTGGATCATTAGATTTAGGGTTTATTGACAATAAGCAAATCTTTCTCACACACACACATACAGGCTGTATCGAAAATACTATTACAAACTTATGTAAAATCATAACTGCCTGCTCATGATATAAATATTGTGCCATTGTTAAATGGAACACTTCTTAGATAACTCACTACTACACTCATTAAGCATTGAAGATTGACTAGTCACAAATGTACACGAATGACAAAAGTAACCTCGTCTACACGGCAACACAGTGACATCTCCCATAAAATTTCTGTAAACTTAGTAACTCAAAAACAAAGGGTTTGCTGACATATGTTTATATGGACTTTTGTCTGTGTTTTATGTGAGGAACTCATCCCAAATTTTGTAAAAGAATTTTTGATATACTCTTTATATAAACATATATATATATATATATATATATATATATATATATATATAATCAACTCTCCCGTCGAGATTCGACGTATGAGGGTCAAGCAGAACAGTTTCCAGGAAACCGACAGCCCAACACCAGCACATGAGATTTGATTATAGTGGTGAAGGCCTCGTGCAGAACCATCCACACTTTTTGAAGGGATGAATACAGAGACCTGGTGCACCGAATGCCACAAGGTTCCCAAACAACTCTCCGCAGGTTTTGAATTCAGAGTTGTCCTTCTTCTAGACCAGTTGCCATCCAAGGCTATAGAACCTAGTCTGTCCTGCTATTTTACCCATAGCTGGAGGGAGAGGGAGAGGATTCATACCTTTCCCAAGGGTATTAGCACGTAAGTGAATGTAATGGATTCAACTGGAATTTGAACTCGGCTCTGTGATTCCTCAATCCAAGCCATGTATATATATGTATATATATATGTATATATATATATGTGCATATATATATACATATATATATATATATATATATATATATTTTTTTTTTTTTTATAACATACAATGTGTGTTAGCACGTGCGATACCCTGACTTCATCAGCTGCCGACCAGGGGTGATCTCACGGTTTCGGTGGCTGGGGACCGCCACCCCAGGCGCCACCAGCAGCATTTGCCACCAGGCAGGGGTATGAAAAAAAAAAAAAAAAATAATTGATCGTTCCTCTTTGCAAATTCTTAATGAAATAAATAAAACGATTGTTCCTCTTTGCAGCTTCTGTCCGTAATGAAAGTTCCTGAACGCGTTTGCCGTTATTGACGCTTCGTAAAATTGTTATAAACGGCTATGCAAATATTTCACCTGCGCATGTTAGGTCGTGATGATGCGCGCATAATATTTCACTAATGTTTGTTCTGATCTTAACTTTCCTTTCTAAATTTGTCGTCGATTTGGTCGTTTTTCCTCTTTTTATCTTTTCCATTACCGGTTCAAATCACTCAAAGCAAACATTGTATATTATTCTACAAAAGGAACTGATCTTTTGCCCTATGTGACCCTTAAGATTGTTATTAAGGATAAAAGAAAGCTCTTTGTCAAGATTAGTCCAAACAGTCTTCCAGTTACCTTTGGGCCACTGTATTCTTGGTTTACTTAGGATTTCTCCAGGGTGCTGTCGCTCAACGATGGAATCCTGAACGCTGTGGGTGTATTCCAGATTCATAATCCCATCACTTGATTTACATTCTCCAATAGGAGAATTACGTTGTTTGCACCAGCGTGCCTTATGGATACGTAAACCGCGTAAACCGTTGAATCTTCTGCCGCAATCATACATTGTAGCCGGGTCCATGTACAGGTCGTTTCCATTAAAATCAGTCTGATGGGTGATATATTCTCCCTCCCCGCTACAGTCACCCAGAGGGCATTCTACGTCTCTTGTATTCTTCATGCTTTAATGTAGATTCTTGTCTTTCCAAGATGTCACTCCACCTTTCTAGAGGGTCACTTCGTCTTTCCGAAGACACACACATATAAATATATGTATATACATAAATATATCAAGCCAAATATAATAATTGAAACAACAAAGAATAATTTCAGGAAAAATATTAACACTTCAGTTTAGAACTTTGGTCAGTAATTAAATATCAAATATTGAAATGTAAGAAATTGTCTATGAAGGTTTAACTAAAAAACTAAAGATCACTTACCAAATATGAATTTCAAAGGCTAAGAACTGTTTTTCAATGTTGAACAATGAAATGTTTCCAAGTATTGATAATTCAGTAACAAGCCAATTCTGTTTTATTTCAGATGCATATGTACAACCTAACTTAAGAGAGGAACTCAAATCAGTAAGAATTTTTCAAATTTTTTTCTTATCAATAAATCTTACTAAATCTGTATGGAGCAAGTGACCTGATGATTCTAAATTTTTTATTTGATCTTATTATTGTATTAAATCTCTAAAAACCAGATGAGTCTTCAGTGATATTTTGAAGAAAAGGCAATCTTACCTGAAAAATGAAATTTTATTGTTGTAATGAATTTTCTTGGCTTCAGATATTAACAGACTCCCTATGAAACTCTTAAGATTTTAGCCTTATTTCTTTTAAGACTTATTTGTTTACCACATAAGAATAAAAGCTTACACATTATACCAATCATGAACTTAATGTTTTCAAGCTTCAAATCATGACTTGGATGCTACAATTCATGGTAATTATGAATTTTGTAGGAATTAAACATTTTCCCTTAAAAATAATTCAATTTTACATATGTTCATGTTGAATCTGATAACATTTGGGGAAACAGCAGATCAATGCTATACAAACATTAGAGATTAGTAAAAATAATTTCTGATTTGATTAACAGTTAATCAAATTGTAATTTGCTATTTATTAATAAATATTAAACTAATTTAAAACACACACACAAGATTGTTGGCTGTTTAATTGACATAAAGCATATAAAAAAGGGGAATAAATAAATTAAAATATTATAGTATTAGATATAAAGTAAAAGCTCCCATCTTTTTTGTTTCAGGCTGGTAATACATCAGAGAAAAGAATAAGTACTGTGGCCAAATTTGTGGGAAAATATAAGACTCTAAAAGAAGACAACATTGCTGTAGCTGTGAGAGAATTAAGCAATGTGACAAAAGATAGCACCAGTGAAAATATCACAAAGGTAACTGAAATCTTTTCTATACAATGTAAGAATAATAATTAATTTCATTTCTTTGATTTGCATTGCAATTGATATAGATGTCCAAAAAGTATGCTACAGGTAATTCTAAATTGAACAAAATGAAAACACCATGGAACAACTAGAAATGCTTCAATATTGAGTACATGAGCATATTACACCATAACAAACATGGCTGATACCATAGAACAGACAAAATTCCAAGTTTGGGTGCCAAATCAAATGAGTGAGGAGCACACATTCCAGTACAAAGTCATTTCATTTCATTTTCTGGAATGGTATTATGGAGTTGTTGAGGATTTTTCTGGGACAAAATTAAGAATTCAAAGTTCAGCAATCCGTGTCAAAATTGATAGCAACTGTGTTCTTGGATGCAATATTGTGTTTCTGGTAGACTTCATTCCATATGATCAGAAAGATAAGGCTATCACATATTGTGAAACATGAGACAAGCTGAGGGAAACTGTTCATTGAATTTTCTTAAAGATGCAATTCCATTGTATAACAGTGCCTCCTGACACATCAAACCAACAAAAAAGTAGCTCTATTGATATGGTCAGGATATTTTACCACATCTGCCACATAGTCTTGATTAAGCACCTTCAGATTATCACCTGTATGAATCCCTTAAATGACATTTATTTAGGAATTGGTTTGGCACAGATGATGTTGCTACAGTGATGCAAGAGTGGCTCCAGTCACTTGACACAACATCCTTACTGATGCAGCAATAGGGACAAGTATATCAATCTTAGTGGTGATCACATGGATAACTAGTATAACAGTGCTGGTAACAAATGCACAATGATTTATTTGCATAAAAAGGGACACATTAAAGGTTATCTGCTGAACTAGAGATGTTGATGATACTGAATTCAATAATTATTCAACTGCACAGTCTGCCAAAAATTAATTCTCTAAGTAACTCACAAAAAATGTGAATATTTTTGTTGTGTAAATTGAATTTTTATTCTTGTTCTTCAAAGAGGAATAAGACAAATAAGACAAAGGAAGATGCTAACTGTTTATTTTAATGAAAGCAAATATCATAACTAACTCACAAGACTAAAGGAAAAATCATTTAAAGATGTTATTTGATTCTGGACTAATATTGGAATAGTTATTAATAAAGCTGTTATGATTTTAAGAGAAAGATTAAAGGAAAATTCTACATTGATATGGCACTATAAATGCTGAAAATATGGCAGTTAGACATTTGGCCTTTTTCTCTAATTGCAATGCCAGTTATGTCAGGGCTTTTTTTTATTATTATTCCTACAATTATTATAAAACTTTGTTATACAACAATTGTTATCAGTACTAGAGAGCTATTAGTTCTTTTCACCTGCGGCTATTTTCAGGCTGTCATCAGATTAAAGGTGAACTACCTATTTTGTTACACTGAAATTCCACTTGCTGTTGTTTATTGCAGATTATGACATATTTGAATCCTACATTTCTTTTCCACCACTCATAATTTACCACATAAGAATTATATATATGTGTGTGTGTGTGTGTGAGAAAGATTTGCTTATCGTCAATAAACCCTAAATCTAATGATCCAAGTCACCTATAAGTGTGTGTGGTACTGATAGTAATAATATATCAGTAAAAACAAATTAAAGTGACAATAGATGAATATTTATGCAAATTACAGTTTCATGCTATGTGTTTGAAGGCCACTCAGTATACAACTGACAGCTGTAGAAGTATTCATCTTTTACTTATACATATGAATTTAATATTTGCACAAAAAGTATTGATGGAATAAAAAATAGTAAAAGTGCTCAATATAAAATGAATAGCTTTGAATAATAAATTGTAAATATTTTTACTCCTACATGTATTATTATGTATACCCTACAGTTCAAAAGTTTGAAGCAACCCCCAGAATTAGCATGGGATGAACTTGACAGAAGAGTGAAATAAATGAAAAACGAGCTCTTAGAGTCTTTGGAAAAATATTGGAATCAGCTATCAAATTTATACTTTTAGAAATGTTTGCAATGAATGTCCAAAATTTGTGCTGCAGTAATCAAGACTAAAAGAGGATATTTTGATGAGAGAAAAATTTAATCATTAAATGCTTTTTTTCTTTTTGTGATAATAAAATTTCCACTAAAAAATCATGTCTTACTTTTTTTAACAATGTATAATAATTTTCTCTTATTTAAAGTACAAAACAACTATAACCATGGAATATTAGTGTTTGAGCCTTTTTATATTATATTCTTGCTCTGTCCTAGACATCTACCTGGATTCTATCCCCATGGAAATTTATATATATATATATATATATATATATATATATATATATATATATATATATTATAAATAATTGATTTTTTATGGTTTTTTTCGCTACACAGTTCTAACCATGTTTCAAAAATGGAAGCTAAAAGCCATGAATTTAATTTTGTGATTAAATTAAAGGCATAATTGTAATATACTTTAAATATACAGGGAAAAAAAAATGCTGTAAGAATTTTAGCCATTAACAATATAATTTAAAAAAAATCTAGACGACAGGTTTTAACGGAAGTTAGATTTCATTGAAAAATGCATCCCTTCCCACGACCCAAACGTAGCAATAATTGATACATTAAATTATAGACATATTGAAAACCCAGCCACCCCTGTCTAGAAAAATAGATTTATCTGTAACCTTGAAAACATGAATTTTGTTTTAGCTGTGTATTTAAAACCCAGTAATTTTAAAAAGTTACTCCAAAATTCGCTTGAGGAGGAAATGGAACTAATGTCTTTAATTTAATCACAAAATTAAATCCGTGGCTTTTAGCTTCCATTTTTGAAACATGGTTAGAACTGTGTAGCAAAAAAAACATATTTTAAATCAATTAATTTATAATATTAATGCTCTGTAAATTTACATTGAGCACTATTTTGTAAAAATAAAAATATCTATAAGAACACCGGATTATATATCTTGCTGTTCTTTCCTTTTATTTATATATATATATATATATATGTGTGTGTGTGTGTGTGTGTGTATGCATATAATATATATGTTATAATAAGCATTTGTTTGCAAGAGGAGAGGAATAATGAGGATTATATTTTGAACAATGTGCATTTATTTTATATACAGAGTGTCTTACAGAGACATTAAAAATCAGTGGAAAGTCAATTCTTGTTGCTGATTGTCAGGATGGTAATCAGGTTTAAGTGTAGTGCCATGAGTTGACCTATTTCTGTATTACTGTAGCAAGTCAGGTATGCCGAAGTGATGGCAGTAGAAGTAGATGGCTGAGATGATGAGATGGTGCAATATTGGTGTGGTTGGTAGGAGTGTTCCACGGAATGTAGTGAGTTGTGTATGCCGAGGTGACAGTGGTGGGTTGCCAAGGTAGTGTCGGATTGGATAGTTGGACATTGTAGTGGGTTGGGTTTGCTGAGGTGAGAGTTTTGGTTATGAGAGATGCTTGTGAATGAGTGGTATAGATGTTGAGATGTTATCATGTTGAAGTTGGATAGTCAGCAGCTGTAGTGAGTTGGGTTTGCTGAGGTGACAGCATCAGTGACGGTGAGGGCTTGTAGCTGGGTAGTGATGACATTGAGATGCTGTTCTGAATTCATGTGTGAAGAGTCATGTGTTTTGTCAAGCTCAGGTGCAGCAACAGTCATTGAGAGGAGCGGTCATGTCAGTGGCAGTGACAGCAGCAGCAGCAGCACTTTGCATGTCAGCCAGTGGTGTTACTTGTTCATTATTGGAGAACTGCTTTTAAATAGATCTAGTAGTCCCCAGGTGCATCTCCTTTTCTAGCAGGAATGTTCCTGATTGGACAGTAATGCTTTCATTGTCAGGACCTGCTTCATGGATTGGATGTGATGCTTGGAGCTCATATGCAGAGAACAACTTATTTATTTCATTTTCTGATTTCATGGCATTTACATCTGGCCAGCATGCATAATGTATCAGAAAGAGATCTAATTGCAATGGAGTATAACATATATATATATATATATATATATATATATACACATTATGAAATGGACAAAGTCTGACAATTATTTTAAGACATTTTTATGTTTAACATTCTCTTTATAGATACAAATATTTAAGTAAATGCTCTGTTTATAACAAACAGTATTAAACAACATTTACCGGCCTGAATGTCCAAGAAATTTTCACAAAGATTTCATAATGTGTGATGTCATTTGTTTACATTTGATACACCATGAGCAGACATCAATGTACATGAGAGGTTCATGGAAGATTGAAGTTTAAATACAGTAAATTCGACCTTGCTAACCGAACGCTCCTTTGTGGCCAAATCGGTAAAGGCACGTCAAGCTAAATAGTGGTTCTGTATAGGATACAGGTTCGAATCCTGTCAGAGGATGAATATTTTCTGTGAAAATTTCTCGGACATTCAGGCCGGTAAATGTTGTTTATTATAAACAGAGCATTTACTTAAATATTTTTATCTATAAAAAGAATGTTAAACATAAAAATGTCTTAAAATATATATATATATATATATATATATGTATATATATATATGGTGGACTCTCTTATCGTGAACAATAAATGAGGGTCAGTCTTTTGTTTTACACTTATGCATGCTAGAATGGGCTATTGTGAAGAAAATCAGGTAAGGGGAAGACATATTTCATTTGTGCTTTCTTAAGTGTGATACTAGCCTGCCCTTGCTACAAGCAACAAAGCCACACTGACAGATGAAACTTGTTAAAACATGATTTTGATGGCATCTCTGAGTAACTGATATATATATATATATATATATATATATATATATATATATATATATATATATATATCATCCACATACAAGCCTGTTTCACTGTATCACAGCTCATTAGTGTGGATAGATATGAGATTGCTTCATGCCTGGATCGAAACTTGTTGGCAACAGTCAGAGATTCTACCCCTAAGCTATCGGCAAGATAGTTATGGTAAATCTTATCAGCTCTACAAAAATATTTTTAGGAATAGAAAAGACACTGGAATGCATCAGCACATACCTAAGAAATGGTACATTCCAATTGAGTGATGTGGTCAACAGAGCACTTTATAAGAAGTCCAAATTGTGCCATCAGTTTCAGCACTGACTCTTTCACCATCTTGAGTTGTGCTCATTTTACACTTGAAGACATTAGAAACAATTTATGTCAGGTCCAGACAGCCCTCCCTCTGTAAACAGAGGGATTGTCTGTTAGGACTTATTTCCATCTAGATTGTTTTACCTTTTACACATTGTATTTCTTTCATATTTTTTTATATTGTGACACTTATTCCCTTGATTCCAGCTCTGTTGAGTTATTTGTGTGTGTGTGTGTTGAAATTTCAAACTGAACCCTTTATTTAGTCCATGGGTATAGATTGTTCTGATTCCACATGGCTTGCTTTTTCTGGATATTTCAGTATATCTGGACCAGTGGATAAAAGTGTTGGTTGAAGTAATCCTAAAAGTGACTTGACTCAAAGAGTTCTGCGTTCAATACCTGGTCCCAGCAGAAGGAACAAAAACTTGGCGAGTTGAGTTGCTAAAGGGAATTAACTGAAACTGAGATATCCAAAAAGGCATGGCACATGGAATTAGAACAGTCTATGTTTCATGCTTAAACACAATCATCAGGCCATGTGTGTCATTTTTGGCTTGACTATTTATATATGCTGGTCAGTGGTGCATAATGTGTAGGCCTAATATATTATTCTAATTGTTACTTGGATTAGTGGTAATGGTTGTGTTATCAAATATTCTTGTGTGTGCATATATATATATATATATATATATATAGACACACACACACACACACACATATATATATATATATATACAAACATTGACATCTATATATTATATTATTTTATTAAACTGTACTTATTAATTTTATATAAATGAATTTATATTTAATTTATGAAAAATCATTCTTTTTCAAACTCCTGCAGACTAAGTTTAAACTGTTTGTAATGCATAAATAAAATATCTCTTTTGCTTTTTTTTAATTATAAGCAAAATAATAAATTAACCATATTTTTTCACAGGATTTCATAGATGTTGTTGATCATGTAGTATCAACTAATAACATTGAAAGTTGGAAAAATCTCACACAAAAGGTAAGAAATAATGGACTATCAATAAGCAAGATCATCCAAAGTTACTCAGATTTTTTAAATAAACTGTTACATGTTTTTTACAATTATTTCATCAAAATAATTCAATGTTAAATGAAAAAAATTGATCATTTCCTATTATTAATAAGATCAAATCTTTTTCCAGGGTCTTTGTATAAGAGATGATCAGAGTGTATCTGTTTTTCAGCCTTCTCTCTAAAGAAAAGAAAATAACTTTGAATTTGTTCTTTCTGTGACTTAGTTAACTTATCAATGCCAAAAATGCTTTGACTACCAAAAGTCAGTGCTGATGACCAGCTGATAATTGTCATGATTACCATATTTCATGACAAGCACATTGATCCATTCATTATCCAGAAACTGATATTATACTGTCAGTTAAAAAATATGATTCAAAATATATAAAAAGATAAGAGATTTTTTACAACCATGTTTTGGTTTGGATTATTAAAATACAATTATTACTCAGTTTTTTCTTCCTCAGTTCAAAGATGCATCTCAAAATTCTGTTGAAACCAATGTATGAGCAATTATTACTATTATTATTATTATTATTATTGATTTTCAGTCTCTAGTTTAGAATCTGCATAAGATTCACTTGAACTATTGCAAGAAATATTGTGAAGTGTATTTGAATTGGGTTTTATGATTCCCAGAAAATGAATTTGGTCCTTGATGATGCTTTAAGAAAATGGCTTAATTTAGAAATTTCCTTTGACCAAGCAAATTGAGAATTTTTTTTCTTCCAGAATGTCCAGCCTTCCAATGTCATGAATGCCACTGATTCTTACTTTGATGGTGTAACCAGACATATGAATGTTGGAGACAAAACTAAAGAAATTCAAAAAAACAATATTAGTAAGTAGAACAAATATGTGAATATCCATTTGATTTTTTGTGGAAAAAACAACTTATAAATGTGAATTGTTATGTTGCTGGCATTTAAATGTCATCAAAGTCAATGATAGAGTGTCACTTATAGGATTGTCACTTATAGCATTGTTACTTTTAGGATTGCATATGCATCAGTGTTACCAATAAAAGAAAAGAAACATTTAGCAAAAATTCCTACAAAGGATTAAAAGTTAGGTTTCATGCTATTACTTATAGATGAAACGCTTTCCTTTAGGTCATTAATATGTAATTGAATCTATTAAGAGGAAAGAAAATGATTCTGTCATTTGTGATCAAATCTTTCAGACCAGATAATTTGTATTATCACTTGTCTAACATGAAATTTTTAGGGGAATACCAATTTGTACAAAAATGCAATGCAGATTTTAATAATTTTGCTGTTCTGTTATGATATTGGATTTAAAATGGCTAGATTGTTTCTGTTCCTTCATATTGAATTATCTAGTTTGTTTGGATGCAAAGGCATATCCCAAGCATAAATTCTTGGTGCAACACAGAGATTGTTTTGTATCTCTTATGTTCATACTTAGAAAGTGAATATAGGAAAAATGCAGATGGGATACAATAATTGGGAAATGACTGAATGGGAGAGATACTTGAAAATAAATAAAAAGTCTATGTTTGAATTAATACCAATTGCTTGTATCAAAGACATGAAATTAAATTTTGCAAGACAACCCTGATTATCACACAAAAGCTTCATCTCTTTCATTCGTTGATTGAAGAAATAAAAATGAACACTATAGAGGAGGGATCTTCCTTGCTGCAATCTATAATACAAAATCCACAAGGATGATTGATGTCATTCTTAGAAATATTTACATTTTTCCTTCCTTTTCAGAGTATGTGCATGAGTAGGTGGTTCTTTATTATTACTGAGGTATGTGGCTAAAATAGCCATTTTCTTTCTATGATTTTTTCTATGTTGTATTTGCAAATATTTTTTCCATTTTCAGTTTTGCATTATGGAAGTGTTTCAAAGCAAAGAGCCCAAATTCTCAACTCATATCAAATTTCTTCAAGTGCCATAATTAATATTCCACAACAACTTCTCCAAACAACAACATCTGGTGAGCCAAATTATTTTATATTTCATTCTAGCAAATATTTTAATATTTTTTGGCAATGACATTAATGAAAATGTGAGAGGTTGGTATTCAGCAAATGAAGCAGAAATGTGAAGAATTCCATCAGAAAATATTAAAAACATAAAACAAAGGATTTTCTAAATGTAGCCCTGGGTCAATCCTGGCCAATGGCAACCAATAATGTAATTCTGCATCCCTCATGATGGTCTTCAGTTTCCTTCAGAGCACCATGATTATCATCTAGCTGACTCCTCAATCATTAACACATTGATGATTTGTCACTGTTATTGTGTTGATGAACATGGTTCCACTCTGCTTCATGATCTTTCAGTCCTCTGCCACATTGTGTTTTTTTATCTCAGAGGGTGAGAAAATCACTGACAAAATAAACTGAAGTGAAGGACAGGTAAACGGCAAGGAGCTATGCAAAAAAAAAAAAAAAAATGAATCCTTTGGAATAAAGAATTAATTTGGATCAAAAATGTTATGATTGGGTTTATATATGGTTTGTTGTATTCAGTGGATTTATCATCTCACACTTATTGTTATAATCAAATGACAGTGGGTTCTGCTTTTGGATTTTGCAGCTTGTGTTAGCAGTAATTTAAATTTCATGGCTGGCACAAGGTCTTGTTCAGGAGGTCTCAGCTAATGATGTAGATTCCAGTAAAAGTAATGTGGGGAGTCTTCAAGTTGTCCAAATCTCCAGCTTATATGGAATCCTGCATCTGGCAAGGGTGGGGTTGACCAGGGTCTGGATTTAGTTATCGTCCACCCTTAGCATTGACCTTTTTTCTAAAATTCCATATTTTCAAAATATGTTTACTTGAGTGATTTTCCAAATTTAGGGGTTGTTCAGTCCTCTTTTGAGAGTGGTCAGAGGAATGAAGCCCCTCCTTAACTCCAACTTTCTTCACATCTCATCTCACATCATCTCTCCATATAGGTGGGGGCTAATTTTTTCTTCCTTCTCCCACTTTATTAGCATGTAATCTCAATGAACTCCAAGGGCTTGCACACCATCCCTGTGATAAATCCAAACTTTCAGAATGTGTAGGTGAAAAGGGGGTTTCATGTAATTAATATTTCTTAATCAGTTTGTTTCATGCTAGTTGTTTTTTAGGTGATTTCTTGATTGACCAGGCCATACAGCCAGTCACCTATGGTCACTCCAGGGCTAGTAATTAATTTTTCTTTATCACTTGCATTCAAAGGAATCTGAAATAATGTCAGCCATAAAATTTTGACAAATGTCACAGAAATTAAAATGAATGAACCTGTTCCCAATCTTAGGTGTTAATCTATATTTTTGTAGGGATATTTTTCTTCTGGGTAGTCGGTTCAAACCAGATGTTTTTCCTGGCTCTTTGTGCAGACCAATCTTAAATGTTATTTTAGTGACTACCTGGGTTTCTTTATCGACAACATATCTTTATTTTCTATTTTTCAGGATCGACATCTTCAAGTTACATTCTCTCTTTCCTATTGGGGAAAAGTGGGGAGAGACAGGTAGTCTTGGTTTTGCTCAATCTTACTGAATTCCATTGAGCTAAATTTGATTTTGATCCTTCTTGGAACTGTTTGGGATTTCATTTTATTATTTTGTAACATGATTTTTCAATGTATTCCTTTCAGTTGTCTCTTTCCTATTGGTGAAAAGTGGGGAGAGATAGGTAGTCTTGGTTTTGCTCAATCTTACTGAATTCCATCTAGCTAAATTTCATTTTGATCCTTCATGGAACTGTTTGGGATTTCATTTTATCATTTTGTAACATGATTTTTCAATGCATTCCTTTTGGTTTCCTGAGGATTTCAACAATTATCATCCAGTTGGTAGTCCTCTTCCTCTTCCTATTTTTTCTTTACTTTTTTTGCTTGATTAAACCTCTGAGGGTCCAGTGTCACATAAAGACTTTCTTTATTGACTGGAAATGGGTATTGCTATAAGAAGTGACTTTCTTCTGACTACTCTGACATTAAACATCATCTGATGTTTGTCAAATTAAAATCTTTCAAATCTGCTAATGGTAATTCTATTGAGGTTTAACTTTCATAATAAACTATTCTTTACTTTAGGAGTTCTTCTTTTATAAGAATGAGCAGAGTGAGTTTTCCAAGCTGCTGTACCTTCATAATTACCATTAGACTCATCCAAATCTTTCCGAATCCTCTACACTGTCCTCAGATTGACACCCAAACACTCTGAAATATTCATAATGAAGATTCCAGTATGTATGCCAACCAGTACAGCATGCTATTTCCAAATTTCTGGTGGAGTGAATTGTGTCATGGAGCTCTTTTTCTCACTGCCCAACTGACCCTGCTATACTGTGAATCTATCTCACTCTATTCATGTGTACATATATACCTAAAAGATATAAATCAGACTACTTAATTTTTGCAACGCATTCATTCTTATATTTTTTCAGAAAATATTCGTTACAGTTTTGTGTATTACAAAACATTATCTATTGTGATGAAAACAAGAGCAACCTTTTGGTAAGTATCTTTATATTTATAATATAATTAATTAATATTCTAATTAACATTATCACAATTTTCAAATTGTTTCCATATAAGCATATGGCATTTATTCAAGCACAACAATTGATAGAATAGCTTTTCTTAAAAAAAGAATTGTTAATGACATTGACAAAATCTTTCAGACTAAATAAATCATTTATCTTTCAGATGCAGAATGAAATGGCAAATGATAAAAGGTTTTTTTTTTTCATTTTTTTTGTTAAGCACTTTTTTTATGTTTTAGGAAAGAAAAGGATTCTCAAAGTGAACGATTGAATTCTGGCATTCTGTCAATCTCCTTGTATTCACAGCTCAAGTATCCTCTGAAAAAAAATATCAATTTTGCTTTGAATCACATTAAGGTATGTAGTAATTAAATTTATGAAGATTATTAGTTTCTCCCCACTACCACACACACACACATAAGAGTGATGGCTAACAAGCTAGTTTTACAGATTGATATTATGAAATCAGTACTGGCTGGTTGTCATACAAATGTCAAAACTTAGTGCGTGTATATATATATATATATATATATATATTTAAATTTCTTTCTTTTTATCTCTTTTATTCATGCTCTCTCTCAATATATATATATATTTTTTTATTAAATGAACATTGAGTATGTTGGTCTTTATCTTGAAAGCAGTTGATACTGACTTTGTTTGTACTGGGCACACTATAAAAGTGGTTTTATGCAAAAATTGCAGTGATTCCACAAATATCTTTTATAAAATTTCATAAATAGGCTTCCCTGACATGAGCCAATATTTTTAGTCTAAATAATTTTTACTTTACAATGGAAAAAGCTTGTTGAAAGCCTGAAAAAAATGATAAAAGAAAAAAATAATTATATGATTTTATTAAGACAGTTTCCTGTTTGGTGACATCTACTACCAGTGTCAAAAGTCACAGTTTTAAGTTTAGCAAGAAGCCAGAATTCTCAATGTTGATTTTAAAAACTGGAAAAAATGGTAAATTTGCAAGTATAGCACACCTAAAAGAAATGTAATAACAATCTTCTTTTTCTCATTTGGTCTTGGGGAAAAATGAAGTTAAAAATAATAAATGTAATGGATTCATGAAAAGTGAGTCATAAATTAACCAGAATTAAAATATTTTAAAAGCAATGGGGAGGAGTATGCAATATTTCTTGTAATATCCAGAACAACCTTAATATTGAGTACATAGGATATTACATCACAACAAAGATGGCTACCATCATAAAACAGTGGACAAATATAGTGGGTGGAGATGTAATAAGATCTTTTTTAAGGACAAATTCTAACAAAGGTTGATTCCATGACCTGGAAACATCCAATGTCAATGAAAAAAAAAGTAAGTTCAGTGACAACTGGGATGTAAACATGCTTCTCATACTGCATCATGACACAGTTAACATAGATTCTGTGATAAACTGGACAGAGGCTGAAGGAAGCTGTTCATTGAAAGAATCCAGTATGCTTGCATGTTGTCCTGCTGCAGGATAATGCCTCTCTACACATGGCCATCTTGTGTACTTCTAGTAACATGTTTGGAATGATCTTGGGTTCTTCAGATTAACATAATTTGGGACCTGTTGTTGCACAGGTGCACAAATATTTTATTTGTATAATAGTAAACATGTTAAATGAGTAAATAGTAGTACATTAATTTTCAGATATATCTCATAGCTACAATTAAATATAAGTTTTTTATGTGCTATGAATTAAAACTGTAAACATTTTCTTTAAACTATAAATTTTTGGTTTGTATGCTTACTTTTTTTTACCTTTTTTAAAATTGAAAAAAATGTTATACAATTTATGTCCAAACCATTTTTATAATAAAATGACAAAAACAGTTTTAGACTGCATTAAAATTCATTCATTTGTTTCTTTAGATAATGTTTTCTTCAAGTAAATGACAAAGTAATTTTTATATGAAATATTTAATTTTCAGAGATCAAATTTGAAGCTTGTTTGTGCTTACTGGAATTTTTCATATAAATCGTAAGTATTTACTTTTTAAACATTGTTTCTAAGCTCAAGTACTTAAATACAATTTTTAAAAAATGCAAACAAATTTATAATATTTATTAAGCTTAGCTTCACATTGCACAAAGTTAAAGGACTGTATCCACTATTACTGTCTCTATCAGAAATGTGTGCAATTACTGCAAGAGAATCATGGAAAATGCAAATGTACAGGCAGTTCAAACCAAAGTAGAAAACAAAATATTTGAATCCTGTAAGTTCTGGAAAATTATAAATGTAATTCTCAATACAGACAAAAAACAATGGCCATAAAGTTATCATCCTCATCCAATAAGCTGGGCTGGTGATGCTCAGTCCTTACTGTTCTGTTTGAAAGTGATTACATGGACTTCTGGGTGATGAATTATTTTCCACTTTACAACTCCTATCTCAAAATCTCTCTATTGCTATTACTGAGGCAAACATTCAAATGAGTTACATTCCTTATCTCAAATCATTTCAGCTAGGACACAGCATGCCATGTTCACACTGGCAAATCATCCCTAAGGTATGATTAAGGTAAGGAGTAAGTTCCACTCAGACTGCTTCTTTCTCACAACTGTTACTTTCTGAAACTCAGCTCCCGGGTGGATGCTTTCCTGATCACTACAATTTTAACTTCTTTAATTCCAGGGTCAATCAATATCTATCCTACATATCCTCATAATATGCCATTCTTACTTCCTCCTCTCCTCTTCCCTTACATTCTTACAACATTCTCACTTAGTAGCCTTCTTGAGTAGCACTTGGGCCTTATATTGGCTGAACTAAAGTTAAAAACAACTGTTTGGTGCCTACCAGAAAAATACTAAAATTGTTTAAAGTAAATTAAACAGAGTTAGAGTTGTGGGGATGAGAGGATTATCATCCTTAACCTGAAAAATAACTGAAATATCAGGGTGATATCAATGAAACTGATTCAAATTTAGTATAAGATAACACAAATACGCACTATAACTTTTCAGTACCTCCTTATATATGTGCATGTATATATATATATATATATATATATATATATATATATATATATATATATATATATATAGTTAAATTTCCAGATGAATTCTGTGGACAAGACAGATTGGCATCAAATGACAATTGGAAAAAAAAATCTTACATTTTGCCAACGCGTTCCATCTTCCGACTTTTTCAAGGCAAAAATGAAATCGAAATGTTTTTGTTGTTATAGTTACATTAAAAATCCAAATTTAAAAAGATAGACGTTTCTGTCTAAGCCTTTTTTTTTCTGGTTAATGTAAATTACCTTTATAGTAAGGGATTATTATTATTATTATTTTTTTCCATGTCGACAATATAGTTAAATTCCCAGGTGAATTCTGTGGACAAGACAGATTGGCATCAAATGACAATTGGAAAAAAAAAAATCTTACATTTTGCCGACACCTTTATATATATATAATGGGCAAAAGTACAAAATATCTGGGATATAGCATATAAGCAGTATGTATGCATAAGTTTGAAAATTGCATTCAATCATGATTGTTGAATGCAATTTTCAAATTTTCATTTGTCAAAGTGTATGTACATATATATATATATATATATATATATATATATATATATATATATATATATATATATATATATATATATATATTCAAGATGTTGTTTTTTAATATAGATTAATGTTTTTGTTAAGGTAAAAAAGGCAGTGATATTGTACTAATGTAATGTTTGACTAAAATCATTTTATGCCATTCATCATACTGACTGTGAAAAACATTCTTTGTGTTTCAATAGACGAATCACTGGGTTTTGGGGAAGATGGGAAACAAGAGGCTGCCATGTTGTTTCTCAGAACCAAACATGCACAACATGTTCTTGCAACCACCTCACCAACTTTGCCCTCTTGATGAGCACTCATTCAAAGGTAAGATATAGTTAGTTATTTGATTAGACTATGTCAGACATAAGACAATATTTTTCAGGATGATTTGAAGAGGCAATTTCTTTAAATATAACAATAAAATAAAGAAGGAAAAAAGTGGAAAATAAACTTGAAAAACTTTGCAGATTTTACAAGTTCATTTGCAATAACAACTAATTGCTCTACAGCAAGCACACTTTCTGGTTATCATGATTTCAGTAAAAGCAGCAAAGTAGATTTAGCCGTATCTGTTGATCACTTCTGGAATTCAATAAGGGACAAAAATTTCTACATTTCTATTTTTGTAATGAATATATTTAGAATGATAACTTTAAAAAGAAAGCTGTCTTTGAGTTACCAAATAAATGTTGAGTGGACTTGGCTTGTATCTGCCACAAGAAAAGATAATTACCCAAATATTTATAATAAGACAAATAAAAATTGCTGAAAAGAAGTCAGAAGAAAAGAAATGACATTTTTCTTTTCTACAAAGGGAACATGCTAACAACGTATAGATATCTACAAAGTGGAAAAAGTAGTGCTCTACATCCAGGTTTGTGTCAGCTATAAAAAAGTTGCATGAAAATTTGAAAAATGCTTTCCAAAATATTTTACACAGTAATGAAATATGGAATGATAATACACATGGTGAAACCAATAATCTTTTGGCAGAATGACTTCTCTCTCATATTTTTCATAAATTGTTTCCATACAAAACTGTCACAAAATGAAAAACTATTTGACATTATACAGTGTAAGAAGCTTGAATTGAAATATGCTCAAGATAAAATAATATGATGAATATTATGAAAACATTGTTCTAGAAACAATGGCAAACATTAAAGATGAAATAAGTTAGATCACCTTCACACAAAAAGAATCAAGGAGAGCAAATGAATAATAAAGTGACATATTTTGAAATATGAAGGAAGCAATTTGAAGGAAATTTCATATTTAGTATTAATTGTTGAGAAGAAATTTGAAGTGTTTGCCTAGACACTCCTTATGCAATATAGAGATTCATTGAAGTAAAAGAAAACTGCAATATGTTTGATTATAAATTTTTAGTAAATGAATTCATGTATTTACATAATGCCAACAACTTTAAAAAGTGCAAGTCAAGCAATTTTAAATTTAGATGAAGATCTACTTTATAAAGTATGTCTGAAAGTGTTACATTCATACAACTTTTCTTGATTATCTGCAAATTTAGTTGCAAATGAAAGCTTTTCAGTCTTGGACATAATTCAATCATTCTTAAGACACACAAAGGCTCAAGAACAGTTGTCTTCTCTGGCTTATACTTCTATCAAGAAACAGGGACATTATTGATTTACAATTGAATAATGACATCACAAGATATTAGAGGACTTTACTATAAAATCAAGGTGCTTGGAATTCATGTTTAGATGATGTAAACATGAATTTCTTGAAAAAATTGATACATTTTAAATTTAATGCACAAGTAAAATGCTCATTCCCAGTAAATGCATTGCTGATTTTAATATAGAAAAGCCTTTCCTATGATGATATAAATGCTTTGAAAATTAAATAAGAAATAATCTTTTTATTTTCTGATAGTCCCCACCACACTAATTATAGTCATTACAGCTGATTGTATTTTTGTTCATTAAGCGTAGGTCATATAAGATAGCCAACATTTTCAAAATATTGAATCATCCCTTAAAAATCATTTGTATATATTTTCTTCTATTTAAGTTAAATTTATATGACAGCAGGTTAAGAAAAATGAGTCAGGTAAATTGTCAGACCCCCAAACTTGGGAGTTAGGGTTAGCCAATTTTTGAAGTGGTCACTTTGAAAAATTGTACAGATAAACAGAAATAATCATGCTTGTCTTCATTCAATGACCTGTCATCAATTACTCTCAGTACATATAAGATTTCTCCAATTGTAAGTAGTTGTCTAAATTTTCTATTGAATATTGCATCCCAAATTGTATGTATACTAAATTTTGTTAAAAAATTATACTTAGCCCAAGTAAAAATGATAAGTTAGCCACCATTGTATAAATGCCATTTATTATATTCTAATGACGCTCTCACATTTATTTGAATTGTGCATTTCAGGTTGTGAATGACAAATTTACAACAGCTATTTCTTTGATAAGCGGAATAATTTCCATTTTGGCAGTTCTTATTACTATTGCATGTTATGCTGCACTTTGGCCGTAAGTAAATTCTCTTGAAGCAAATAAAATCTTTCTTGAATTCTAATTTAGAAAATAAACTTTGTTCTTTTTTGTTTTTAATAACATATCTCTTAGTAGTGATGTGTTACAACATTCATTCTTTGACATTGCAATTATTTGCAGATAAATTTTAGTGAATTTTATCATTTATGATTGAATTTTTTATTTGTATTTATTTATTTTCGTAAATTAAGCTTATAATATATATTTAATAATCGGTAAGGAAAGAAATATTTGGGTACTTGTAAAATATTTGTTTAATATGCTTTTGATGTTGACATTTACTATAAATTTGCACAGGTGATGTATTTTGTTTATATTTAACAATTACTAAGAAAAAATTGTTTTTCAAATATATATAGAATAAAATATAAGCAAAAATAATGGTGGAAAATTAATCCTGCATGGTCATGATTTTTGCAATTTCTACTCAGAAACCTTTTGTTTTTGTAACTCTTCAACAAGAATCCTTTGATATCTTATTTATTCTTCCTTAGAAATGATATTAAATTCATGTGTTTGTGGGTCTCACTGATGAATTCAATCTTTCAGATTTTGCCATAAATTTTCAATTGGACTTAAGTCGCGAGATTGACTAAGTCACTGAAGTATATTTATATTATTTTGAACAAACCATTTGCAAGTCACTCTAGCTGTACACTTTAGATTATTATCTTGTTGGAAGATTCTCTTTAAACTCTAATTGTTGTACCAAAGAAAATAGATTAACTTTTTAAATACTCTGTTACATTGCTTCATTCAAGGTTGCTGGAATCATATAAAATGCCCCTGTACCATACCCAAATCATGTTTCTTTCTTTTCTGTATTTTACTGTGAAGATAGTAAAATTTTTATTTCCTAGAGTCAGCCAAATTTCATCATATATGATCTGCTGGGATTCATCACAAAGTTCAATTTTTGTTTTGTACAAACAAATAATTTTTTTCCCAAAATTAATAGGTTTTTTTAAATGCTCATGAAGTATCTTTTATCCTGAATTCCAGGGGCCATTTTTCAACAAGGGTGTTTTCTGTAAGTTATCTTAAACTATTTCTGTGTGGCTCATTACAAAATCTGAATATACTTTCTTCATGATCACATCTTCCCACTGGCTGAAAAAATACCCTTAGTATAATGCTGTCACCTTGTATAATGCTGTCACCTCATATAATGCTGTCACCATCATGTGTGATTTTGCATTCTTTGTATTGAAAGCTTCACCTCTGTTTTGTCAAAGAAAAACAATGACTTTATGTCCAAGAAATTCAATTACTGTTTTTCATCTGACAAAAGAATTGAAGACAAAAACATTGAATTCTTGGTGGTGATTCTTGGATTGTGCTCAAATGTGTAGCTGAGGAATTTTCTTCCCACACATGAAGTGATACCTTTGTTTTCCTTCCTTGTCTTTTAAAGTTTTTCATGGTGAAGATATGCATGAGCTTTTGATAATGTTTTGAACTTTTAGAACTGGCTCTTGAAATTGTTTTGATATGATTTTGTAGCCTTTCCCCTCAGTGGAAATCACTATCTTTAAACTGATTCAATTTAGACTGAACTTATTGGCACTTTTCATATAATCTAAATTCATCTGTCCTTATTCTTGATTTACATCTTAAAGTTTTTTTTGGGTACAATCTTTTACTTTTTAGCAATTTCAAAAATGTTTTCTATTTGAAGGCCTACAAGGACATGGGGTTAAAAGCATCATCTTGAATTTAAGTTGTAAATAATCAAGAGATCTTCACTGTTGAAAAAGGAAATATTTCATCTTTGTATGATTGATTTTTTTCTAGTAGAAAATATTTGAACAAATTATACAAGTAATTAGTGTTCTCTTCAAAAAGTACTTTGTAGATAATAAAACAAACTGATCTGATTATTGTTTGTGCTTTTTCATAGGAATATTACCCAGAATCCTGTGAATCGATCAAGAGCAATTATCCTCATGAACCTTTGTGTGGCTCTGATAATTGCCAATATTATTTTTCTTGCTGGAAGTCAAGAATACAAAAATAAAGTGAGTTTATATCTTTAGAAATAAAAATTCATTCTTATTTGTTATTTTTTTTATTTAACAAAATGAACAAAATCCATTTCTTTGATATTTTTTTTTGTTGTTTTTTTACAATATGAAACATTTAAAAAATGCAATATTTTTTTCATCTATTCACAGGTTGCATGTAAAGTGATATCTGTTTTACTGCATTTCTTCTACTTGTCAGTCTTCTTCAGCATGTTGATGGAAGGACTCGATATGCTTATCACTGTCATATTAGTCTTCAGCAAGAAAATCAAGGTCAAGTGGTTAATTCTTGGAACCTGGAGTAAGTAGTATTTTAATTCATGTGATGTTATCAAAATTATGTTTCCATTTATTGGAAAACTTGTGAAAACTTCACATCTATACCAAAGGGAAATATAACATTTGAAACTTATTTTTAAACTCAACCTTCAAGATGTATTATCTTTATTTTGGGTAATGCGGTTAGGCTTTGATGTCTGCAGCAAAGGAGTTTTCATATGTTTGGCATAAAGCCACCTGGAGAAAGGAACTTATGCCATATTTTGTACCTCTGGATATGCAAAATAAATGTTATAAATGATGTTGTTAGAATCTTTGACACCTGGATCTAGAACTATCTAGAAGAAAAACAACCTTACTAAATGAATTTTACTTTTAATGAAGAGTAAACAGCGCATCAATTAAAACATAATGATAAGAACAACGAAGATGCAAATCCTCATTTGAATATATCATGAAATAATTTTCATATTTTCAGTTCAATATACTTGTAAAATTCTGCTTTTTCTCAGTGTCACTTCATTCTGAATCAGAATTTTGCATTTGTTCCCATAAATCTAGTTCCAGATTTTATATGTGACTCTTTTCAAGCTTGATGTACATGAAAAATTGGTTTTCAAAGAAAAATTGTGAGAATTTTAGAACATTAATTATGAAATGGAAAACTCAGAAAAAATAATTTTTGTATTTTATTTCTGTATTTTTTTATCAGTATTCTTCCACATTTTTGGCAGTACAACCAATTTTAAGGGTTTTTTATATTGGGATCATATTTTGAATCATTAATAATGAGTGTTTATATTGTATACATTTTTTGAGAAATTTCACATTTGAGTGTTTTTCATTTTGGGCTATGTCTTTGATCGACCTTAAAAATAAAATTTTTCTTTGTTCAATTTCTCTTGCCATATTACGTCTACTTTACTTTTTTAAGTTGGATCATGAAAAGTTACAAAAAGGAAAAAATATTTTCTTTATTATTTTCTAGTTTTTCCACTTTTGATTGTTGGCATCAGTTTATCAATCAAGTTTGATAATTATGGAGATTATAATCAGTAAGTATCAAAGAATTCTACTTTTTGCTTTAATTGTTTGATGATTCTGACACAAAATAGCTTCAGTGTTTCATCTATTTTTATTGTTTTAATTTTTGTTGCATTTTACCCCAATTTTATATGATTCCTTTTTCTTCAGCTCTTTAATCTGCCAAAAATTCAAAACAAAGGAATAAATTCTGTCCAGAATCTGATATCTGGGATGTGAGTGTAAGATACAAGTGTGAGTCTCGTCTCAAGTTAGATCTTTGTTCTGATTTGCTAAAATTTAATTTAACAACCAAACAAAAACTGACAAACACAAGCAATGACAAAATTTATTATAATTAAATTTTGTAATCATAATTCTAGTTATTTGAAATGCATGCAAATTTAACTGGATGTCCATGTTTTTGCAGACAAAATATCTGGACTTAGATTATGAACTGTGTGATGAAAGCATATATGCAGAAGTAGAGAAAAGTGTATTAGATACAGACAAGAAGAAGTCTATTTCGGGCTACTGGCATTTGTCATAAAGGTAATGGCATATGCATCCACATCACTGAAGAACACTAGAAAAATGCCAAATATCAGACCAAGTCACAAGAGATTATTATCAAGGTGAATTTAAATGCAAAAGTAAGATGGGAATAAGAGAGTGAAATGGTTGCTAAGTATGAATTGGGATCACATAATGAACAGGAAAAGAATAGGTTTATTAGTGTACAGTAAATGTCCAAGTAATAATCAACAATTGGTTTGAAGAACATCCAAGATACTTGTGAATTTGGAAAATCCAGCTGGGGACATTTAGTCATCAAGAAATGATTTAGAAATACAGTTTACATTGTAAAATGAAGCCCCCTAGTCATATACAAACTCAGAATAAAATTACAAAAATTAAAGAAGCTCAAAGGAATACCTAAACATCAATATGACAAACTGCACAACAATGGTTGTCACATTTAAGAACAAATATAAAGTTTTGAAACTGTTTTGAAACAAAGTGGAATGCCTTAAAAGGAGGCATAAGGAACAACAGCAAAATAAGTTATCTTGAGGAATGAAAGACAAGAAAAACTGGATGATAGCTGAAATTCTTAATCTAATATAAAAGGAGCAGCAGACAATGCTAAGGAATGAAGCAGAATATACAAGATTAAACAAAAACAGTGGAAATAAGTGCAAGCAAAATACACATGGCTCAATGATAAATATGAAGTAAGTCATATAAATATGAAAAACTGTAAAACACAGATATAATGGATATGCATAAATGGATAAAAGAAATAGTTGTAGAGAAAATGTTCTTTGGTAGAAAGTTGAAAAAAAGAGGAAATAATCCATATGGGAAAGGATACAACAGAGATGGAAAAAATACATTGGAGATATATTTTATGGCAACAGATGAGAGAAACCCATGGTGCATAAAATCATGGAAGGAGCTATAATAATAAAATCAGGTGTTAGATCAGCACTGGCCAAGATAGAACTGTAAACAGCCTAAAGCAATTTTAGAATTGATAAAGTTATCAAAATTATCAATGAAATACATGATAGAAGCCAAATACAAGATGCTTTCAGTAGATCATTCTTTGTAAAAGAAACCAGATATGAATGGTAACAAATTATCAGCTTGATGAACCACATAACTATTCATTATGATTCTAATGACTAGAGATCATCACTGAATTAGATGGGAAACAAAGCAAGAATGGTGTGCTTTGTTCAAGATAAAGGAACAAGAAATGCAATGTTTCTAATCTATCAGAGTGAGCAAGAGAAGTATTAAAAGATATATAAATACATTTCATGAATTACCCAAAGTGCAATAGGAAAGTTCTTTGAAATCTTTTCTGGGAACAAACAGCTTGTGTGCAATATAGAACAAGAAAATATACAAAAATAAAGAGGATTACAATAAGGATGTGTTTTCTCATTGGATTTATTTATCCATTACAATTAGAGGATTCTAAGTGAACTAGAAGATCTACCAGGATTTATTATTGGAGGACATAACCTTAACAACATATGCCATGTAATGAAGAAAGAAGATGTGGAAAATGTAACACTCACAGAGAACACTAAAGTTAAAAGACGTAGAGGAAAGCAGCAAGCTAAATGATAAATTTGAGTCAATGAATGACAGAACAAAAATCACAAAGACCAAAGGAGAAAGAGCAACAAATGAAAGGAAAATGTGGAAAGCCATTCTTTTTTTATTCTTTTTTCAACTTTTTGACTTAAAAAGGTAGATCAATAAATCCATAGCTTAACACATAGTAATTTAATTTTAATCTGAAATTTTCACTATATAATATTCAATCTATGAAATCAATATTTGTCTCTGAATTAAGTGCATTGACAAGGAAGGAGATTATTTTGAAAATGAAACATTTGTTGTTTAAAAATGAATGCTTTTTCATCAATAATTTGTGGACATCCCCCTGTAATGATGCAACATATTTTTATTCTAAAGCATCAATATTGGCTTTTTGTCTACAATTGCAGAAAATATGAAATTCAAAATATTTTGTTATTAGCAATGCATTTAAGGATGCCTGTCACTTTCTTAACAATGTGGAGTGGTATGAGGGTTATCACTGATCAAATCAATTTCTATATATTTTGATAAAAGTCTCATCACTGACATATCATGATCAAGAAGAGTACAGAGTAGTTAGGAAATTTTCCTTGCTTTTTTTATCTTAATTGGAAAGGAGATAAGTACCCTCAAGTAACCGAATTTACCCAAGAAATGCCATTAAATACCCAACATGGCACCCTGATGATTGCCTAGATTAACAAAGCTAACATTTATTTTATGCCCTATAAATAGTAAAACTAAACTTCTAATTTTTTTCTCAATATTCACATGAAATCAGAATAAAATCCAACTAATTGATATATTTTTCAAAAGTATTTTACAACTGTTTTCCATATAAATGATAACTAATAGCTTTCTCTATATAGAGAAAATATTTCTTTTCAGATGTACATGAATTTCCATGCATCAGGATATACATCTTTCCAATTATCTACTTCATTACTTTTCCCACAAAAAGGACAAAAAATTACCAGTTACTCATATCCTCTTTCTCTTTCCAAAATAACAGTCAATTGTAAAATTTAGACAATGAACATACCCCTCAGCAAACATTCTCATAAGTATTTATTTACAAGAAATGTAAATGATTTTGTTAATATTTCAATCTTTATACGCATTACCCTCAAAACATAATCTTCCTTGGATGATGTAATCAAAATCATTTTTGGGGGGCAATTAACTTCTTTCTGAAATATTTGTGTTGATATGCAATTCATGTCTACATAATTTGAGAAACCAGTAGAAAGGCATGAAACAAGAAAAGTTTGAATCTGCTAAATTCTGTATCAAAATTCATGAAAAAATGTCCAGTTTTTAAGCTCTTTTAACACAACCCTCTTAGTTAAGTGAAGATCAAGGTAGTAAGTTCAATTCTTCCTCTTGCTAAATGCCACATTGTAATTATTGAGAATGGTACAGTGTAATGATTGAAAATGAACTCAGTAAGCAAAATTCACTTCTTAGAAGCTCCAAGTTATTTCTAAAACTGGTACATAATTGCAAATTGACAAAACAGGATTTTCACACAACAAAGCATTTTTCAATGGTTATGTTTTACATACAGGATAGTCAGGAAGCATACCCACCCACAGACATATCCCTAACTATATACTTGCATGTGTGTGTGTGTGTGTGTGTGTAATACATGTGATGATAGTTGTGTACTTTTAAATGGTACAAATGTTCATGCCTAAGTAGAACTAGGATTTTGAATGCTGATTATCAAGGTATGCTGGTGGATCCTGCATTCCTAGAACATAATCTCCAATTTTTGTGACCTTCTATCAGAATAAACTTATCTATTTTGCAGTAATTTTAGAATTTTTTTCTCATTTTATAAGTTTATCACTTAGAAAAGCTTTTTTTCCATTACAGTTGTTGGCTTTCTGTAAATAATGGACTCCGATGGGCATTTATAGGACCTGCATTTTTTATTATATTTGTAAGTGAAATTCTTGTCTTATATGACTGTGCACATATGGTGTCATTCAAAATGCATACTTCTCTACCCTATCTGGATTGCATTCATGTGTTCTTATTTCTAATAATATTTCAATTCTTCACTTATAAACTGCATTTTGTATCTATAGGTTATTAAATTAACACAATATATATATATATATATATATATATATACACACAAATGTGATAAAAGTAAAGTACATTAAAACAATTGACTTTTCTTCAATGATCAATACAATTATAAAAAAGAAACTTGTAATTAACAGAATTCAATGATTTTATTCTTCTAATCATTAACTTTATCAGATCAACTCTCTTTATTTTCTACATAGCTGTAGAATTGTTGATTATAAAAATTAAGAATGATTTGAAGAAGAATCAGTAATATAGAGAGACAAAAACTGAAAAAGACTGAGGTAACAATGACTTTCACTTATCAACATAATTTGTTCTTAATCGAGCTTAAAGATGAAAGGTTCACGGAAGTAAAAGGTGAAAGGTTTTGATATTTGTATTGAACTTATTTAAGTATTTGCAAATGATGTGTGCATGAAAAATATAGTAAATCAGAGTATGTGTGTGTGATCAGAATGTCTTTCATAATTTGTGGGAATGGGTTACCAAATGTAACAGCATTTGGCTGAGCACTTTCAAAATAAATGAATTCAAAGCATATATGGATTTTATATATATTTTATACTAAACAGCATAGCTGAGAAAAGGAGGGAAATATATATTTATGGGATTAGTTGTAGTGGAGATGTTATTGTGGTCATCTGAAGTTTTTCTGAATGGGAGATAGCATAGTGTTTATGCTACATATGGTTCACCATGTGACATGTCTAAGGTTTAAGTTCCTCAAAAGAGAAATGAGACATGGCTTTTCACTATGGCATCGAGCTGTTGAAGATAGAAAAAAAGAGAGTGAGGAGGCTTAAGTCCTTTCCTTTTATACTGCTTTATACAATGCCACCTTATGAGCATTACGAGAAGTCCCATGGCAGATAAGTGGGGTAATCCAACAAAAGGAAATGAAAATATATTTATTCTTGAAAAGATGAGATCTGATTGTTGATGTTTAGATCTGATATGAATTCAGAAGAAAAATCTTAAAAATTTTGAGTAATTTTAAAAAATTTTTCAAATGAATAAATTTTGTTTCTTTTTTCAGATAAATGCTATAATTTTCATTATTGTAATCAGTCGAATGTTACAGACACAAGAAATGATGCAAAAGACAGTCCAAGAGAGAATCAGGTTGGAAGATTTTCTGACTTTTATCAAAATATTACATTTGCTAGAATATTTTACAATAGTAGTAGCTCAAGATAGATTTTATAAAAATCTATATCTATGTATAATTTTAGTTACATAAGAGGTCTCAGATGACAAATATCTCTTGATTTTTTAAATGTCTTTTTCTATATTTTATACTAATGTAGGGAATATATATATATATATATATATATATATATATATATATATATATTTGCTTAATTTTTAGTCCCTTTTATGCTCATATATTCTTCTCTTTAAAATAATATTGATATAATTATTTAATAGGAACCATGTTTTATTTTTTCCAGGTCTGGTATTCGTGGAATTGCCTTACTTTCTCCAATTCTTGGTTTTACATGGATTGCAGGATTTTTTCTGGTTCATGAAAATATTACATTGCAATACATTTTCATCATTTGCCATTCTTTACAGGTTTGTGTTGTTATCTTTTTTCTTTTTCTTTGTAGAAAAAACAAGCCAATATCAAGTGTATGTATTTCTAAATAGATGCCTATATCTATACAAGCATCTATATATATATGTGTGTGTGTGTGTGTCAACACAGTAATTTTCTCTCTTCCTTTAATAATAATATCAAAAAGCTTGTTTGTGAATATGAAAGGATCCAATTGAAAATAAGTGGACAAAACTTGTCCAAATTATTCAATGAAAGATGTCAATATATATGTATTTATATAAATAAGGGAGAGATTATTGTTGTTCCAGTGAGAAAAAAGTGTATATTTTAAAGAGAGAAAAAGCTTCTTTTTTTTTTTACTTTATTCTATATATTTTGCTACACATTTCAGGTCTTGTGACTTTCATCAGGTGAAGAGTAGTTATTTCCACATATTATTTAAAGGAATTCATTTTCTATCTTTAAAATATATATATATATATATATATATATATATATATAGAGAGAGAGAGAGAGAGAGATGTGAAGATAGTGTGACTGTTGATATGAAAAATGGACAGCAAATTTCAAATTCTTTGTTTGTTATATTCACTTTCACACAAATACCATTGGGAAAAGTATGACCCCATCTATTCTCTCCTCAGCTATGGATTAAATAACTGGCCACGCTGGATTCTCTAACCTTGGATGGCAACTAATATAGGAGAAGGAAAACTCTGAATTCAAACCTGAGGGGAACTAATTGGAGATTTTATGGCACACTGTGCACCAATACTCTGTTATAAGTTCTTCCAAAAAGTATAGCTGCTTCTACACAAGCCTTCATTACTATAATCAAATCAAATGTGTGGGTCATCTGGAGGTTCAATTTTAAAATGGAACTGAAATTGATGGGAGAATCCAGGCATATATTTTGTTTGTCACAAAATCACCCTGGATGTAAGCAAAAATATTTTTCAACGATAAATATTGAATTTGATTTCATAAAAAAATTTCATGTTCAACTATAAAAATGAAAGCATTTACTCATCTCTATTTACAGGGCATATGTATCTTCTTCTTACACTGTTTATTCAGTAGACAAGTAAGTTTTGCTCATTTCTTTTCTTTTGTGTTATAAGCAAGAAAAACATTTTCTACTTTTTAAAATAAGGTTGTTAGCATAAAAAGAAATTCAATAAACCTGTTGGAAAAAAATTAATTCTTTATTACAGAAGGAACATTTGATTATGTTGGATTTCCCCATTTTATACTTACAGGGTCCAAGGGAGGGGTAACAAATATATTTTTCAAATTATGATATTTATTTTGGTTTTAGCACAACAATTTGGAACTTCTTTTAGTATCTTTTCAACTAGAGCATGACAGTTGAACAGAATCACAGGACTGGGTGTTAAGTTGTTATGCTGATAGGGTTAACTTGGGAACTGATAAAATTGGAACAAAATCATCTATCCTTCTCAGGAAATTAACTGTTTTGCTAAGCCCAATTATGATGAAATTAGAAAGTTCAGTAGGAGGATATTCAAATATTTGCGAATCAATCAGTTTAAGCAACAGGATTTCTCTAGATGCCAAATCAATAGAAATTCATATATTTTTGTGAATGTATCTTGATGGGTTATCAGGTGTCTTGGGGTTAAAATTAATTATAAAGCTTTTACAAGGTCCCAAATTTCTGTGATTGCTACTTGAAAGCTGTTAATAAAGAAAGCATAAAAAACAATAAAGAATATATAAATATTAATATCCAGTTTTGATTTGGACAGTTTATTGGAATTGCGTGTTTTCCAGTAATTGCTATGAGGATAGCAATGAAACTCTGCAAATATTTTGAATCAACTTTTGTTTTAGTGAGGTTTTAAAAGCTTGTGAATTTTTAAATCATTTATTTATTTTATTACTTTTGATTAAATTTATTATAATTTTATTTTTTTTTATATCTTTTTTTACATCTGGTGGTCTTTAAACATTGCTTAGAACATTTTGGGTTCAAATATTGTGATAATGATGAAAGCACAAGTTGGAAAAATCTGTGGAGTAATGGAAATATTTCTAATTTAATATTTAACTCATTTGCAGGTGAGAGAAGGTTTCTGTCAATGGTTACAAAAGAAGAGTTATTTTAATGAGCTTTCAAATTCATCATTAAAATGTGTGGTAGGTGTTTTTTTCATTTTTGCTTGTAATATAATTTATACTATAAAATGTGTGGATGTGTAAGATCGGTTTCTCTGATTTCACTCTATAAGAGTTCAACCAAACTGCGCAGTCAATATGTAGTACCTGATTTTTTGAATGAACATTGCAATCACAAATCTCTCAGAAATACAAGAAACATGAATGAATAGCATTGAGTGCATTCAGTAATCTTTCTTGATAGTAAGGTTCACTCGGTACAAGGCCCAAAGGCCACTCAAGGTTGAAGGTTGCGTTAAGGGGGGTAGTTTATATGGATAGGAGGTGAAAATAACTCTAGACTTGGATACATCAAGATTGTAGTGCTCAGGAAAATATCCTCTTGGGAGTCTGTTCCACAGAACAGTGGTTTACGGGAAGAAGCTGTTTGAGTAGAACTTACTTCTCACTGATAGAATATGGAGGGAATGTGGGTGGTTTGCTACAATATGTGGCATGGTGGGTCTTAGCCATGAAGGTTACAAAGGAATGTAGTTTGTCTGAGCACTTTCCATGGAAGGAGAAATAGAGCAGTGAGAGGCTAGTCATGTCCCACCAGTGAGAGAGAGGTTGAAGGGTGGAAAATAATTTGTCACCCACAAGGTTTCAGAGACACTTTTGAACTTTATTGAGACTGGTCTCATTATAACTGATGAAGAATATTGCAAAACTTGGTGAGATCCTTTGGGTGAGCCATGGTAGTGCTCTTGCCTACTAATAGACCTATGTAAAGTGGGCTCCCAGAATGCTGACAGACTCCAAGTAGGAGCAGAGATTCTGAGCTGCACAATGCTAAATAATATCTTTCTAAGCCACAGAAAATGAGACCTGGGTTAACCATTTTGTGCCAGACAGCAAAAAATTACTCAGCACAAAAGTTCAAGGTTTCCTTCAAAGATAGAATAGCATAACTGAGAAAGGAAACTGTTGAGAATAGACCTGAAACTTTGGTGTGCACTGTGTGTTTAGACTTTTAAATTTGTTGCAATTAAAGAAGAACAAGCATACTTTTTTTTTCAAGCCTTAAACAATTAAATTTATTTAGGTACTTTCAACATGTATTCAGCTTTGCAAATTGTTTTTATTCACTGAATTAATATAAAATACTTTTTTTATTTATTATTTTTATAGAAAAACCTTCCATCAAAATATCCTAATAAATGTTTCAAATGTATTTTTAAAATTCTCAACAATATAAAAATAAGAGATTTATTTTCCTAATTTATAATTTCTTTATTGCTAATATTAACAAGATTTTACTCATATTCTGGAATGTTTTGGTCATTGGATAACTTTGAGGACACGTGTTGAAGAGTAAGACTTGGTGCATGTCTTGCAAGTCATTGTTAAAGAGTCTATTCTTATATTTTTAGGGACTGGACCAAACAAACATGACACGAACCATGAGTACAGCCCAAAGTAAGTGTGGCATTTTTATTCTGATTTGCTTTTCAATTTACAGTTCAATTTTACAGTAAGAAAGTAAATTTCCAACTGGCACTAATGCTTGGTATTTAAGCCCATTTTAAATGCTGATTTTCAAGACAGACCTGAGCTATTTGAAAAATTATTGTAACAGAATCTTCCTACTCCTAACAGCATATGTGCATGTGTTTACAGGATATTTGCAGGAGAGCAGTCTGATTTAATAAAACTGAACTCCAAACGGTGCTCATCCATAGTGGCCTTGTGCCAAGCTAATATTCTGCTAGATCTGCCAAAAGACTGAAGATTTAATTAAAAAACATCTTTGATAATCTGTGACCATTATATAGCAGTCAATGCACAATAAATAATATTCATCCCTTCATCATTGATGCAATTCTAAGTGTCCCTGTTGAAGAGAGCTTCTTATCTAGTAAGGATTTAATAATGAAATCTGTCATCACAAGATACTTGTTGATTCTTGTGCCAGAATTCCTCCTGTTTGATTTAACAAATTTTCTTTTTCTTTTTATTCAGGTTTAGATGAGTTGGATTCCTACCAAAACAAGCTTTCAGAATTTCGGCCACGAAAGTCTCAGGACTTTTTAATTCCTGGTAAATGAAACAACAAGGTTTCAAAAGAATAACAAATTGCAAGGATTTTTTAAATTTTGGTAAAGATCATCCAGAAAGACTGCAAAAATCAACAGAGAATGGAAAAAACATTGCTAAATTATCATGGAATTCTCTCAGTAATTCCTAACTAATTTTGTTATAATAATATTACCTCATGATACAAGGAAACAAATATTTTTCTCCAGATTTCTCAAAATTAAAAGGATGATATATCAGGGTAACGCTAATGTAAACCAAATTGCTTTCATTTGGTGTGGATGCAAAATACTATTATCATTTGGATTGCACCTTTTCTTTATTTTATAAAGGATGAATTATTTTTAAGATGGGGGTAGAGTTTTATATCTAAAATAATTTCCCCAGCAACTACATTGTTCTAAGATACTACCAACAACCAATAAGAACTTACAATGAAGATAATAAAATAGTTTTTATCTGATATCATAACAACTTCAAACTCAGAAAATCTTGAAGTCTTGCAAAAAATCAATGTTTACCAATATTTATATGAAAATAAAATGGAAGTATAAAAGCTTAGGCTTTTAATGAAAGATCAAACATCCTATGATGTCATCAATAACCAATAAGAGTCTTGGTTATTGTTACTCTGTTGCTATTAATATTGAGGAGAAGACGTGTGTGTAAAGTTTATAAGTTATATAATTTTTATAATTTACTGATTACACAAATAATATCAAAACAAAAGATTGTGTTTGGGTTAACCAATCATGTTTGATTTTCTAAAAAATTCCCTTTTGCCACTGAGCAAAATATTCTAGAAGTGGGAAATTTAACAAACAAAATTATCCATCATTTTAAAACACTGTTAAAGTTGATTCCCATAAATAAGGTTGGAAATAATGCAGACTATCACTAGCCTTCATTATGATATCATCTGAAAAGAGTGCATTTTGGGTAATTTATATTTTGAAACATAATAAATATTTACATTTCTTTTAAACTTTATATTTAGAAATATTTATTAAGAGGAACTTAGTTTGGCACAAGGCCACATGGTGAGGGAACTGTGTTGATTGATCCAATCTGCCATGTTGAGAAGATTGAAAATTAGTTTTATCTGGGCTTGCACACAGACCACTACTGATATTAGTGGCAATGTCCATCTACCTCAGTTATCAAACAGGCTCAGTAATTATATATAATTTTTTTTAACTTTTATGGATCTTAATATATATCTTTGCACAATATATATTTTTATATAAGTATTTATAAAACACTAGATGTAGACATACATGTGAAATAAATGACATGAAAATGTGGTTTCTTTAATTTATAAAAACAAAATATATAAGATTTTTAAACCTTAATCTTTTCCCCTCTTCAAATTGGATGTTTTTCTCCATGTTGGCATTTGTCATCCAGTTTTAGTGACAGTAAGGTTTTTCTTTTGTGTCTTATTAGTCATTACATTGAAAATAATTTCTAAAAGAGTGTGAAACTCTCATGGAATATCTTTTTTATTCCCTAACACAATTGCAATGCAATTTTATGGGCTCAATCTTTTTCTTTTCTTCTGCCAAACTGAGAAATGAAAAATAATATCTTTAACTTTCACAAGTAGAACAAAATGACTGACTTCTAAGTTTTTGATATAATTTAGATTTTAAATCTCTCAGGGAGATCAGGATGGAAAACTGTTTTCATTCAAAGTACCAGAAGGATGAGATTCATTACCACATATCATGACTACTAATTTGGATACCTTCTGTCTTGTATCCTTCATACCACTGCTGAGAGATCTCTTTCACCTAACGGATATGCCATGGAACAGGTGTTAAATTCTGATCTGTTATTTCTTTATTTGTTAACCAATTAAATGATCTACAATTTGCATCTCAATATGTGCTCTGACTTGTTGAATGATTAGGATGAGCTGACAGAGGCACACAAATAATTATACAACATAATCTATAGATTCATGTTTTGCATAAAAAATTGTGTTGGATACTAATTTATTTTATAAAGGGTCACCTCTGCTGTCTAAATTACTGCTACTACTTAGTAAATCCCCCAAACTATACAAGTCAGTGGTGTCGACAACATCTATGTTGTCATTGCACTATGTTAACTACATTTAACAGGTTGTCATCCAATAAGAAATATTTTCTCAAATTACTGTTTATTATATAACTGAATTCAACTGTTTTTGCTTTTATAGCTGGATTCTTTGTAAATTCCACATTTTTTGCCAGATCATGTGATACATGTTTGGAATCAGGTAAAATTTTTCGCTGATAAAACTGAAATAAAAAATAGTTATCAAACATGGTTTGATTTTGTTTATTTAAAGCTCACTCATTTAACTGGATGGGCTTATCTGCTAGATCGTCTCATATAAAAGCACCTTTTCCTTCTAACACCATTTATTCTTCTGTGGTTCAGAATCATTCTGCTGCTCACTGCATGATGAGATTTCAGGGTTGTCATGAAAATGAGGTGACACTTAATTAAATCAACTTTTTATTAGCAATTTTAAGGAAATTGAATATTGGTAAATTACTGAATATTGAGAAATTTTTGTTGATTATTTAGAAGAACAAATATATAAAATAAATTATGACAAGGCAAGAGAGTAATCTAAAAGAAAGCAAACAACTAATGGAAGGTGGACGAATAAATTTTACTATTATATTTTACAGAATTAATTTCTTTAAATATTTTTTGAAAATAGGATTCTTGTTTTGTATGAATAGTAAAAAAGAAAATCTTATTTTCAAGTTTCTTTTATATTTGTTTTGTTTGGCTAAAAACGACGAAATGGTTAATGAAGTAGCATATTAGAAAGAGGAATTATTAAATAAGCCATTTTAGATGCAATGACTTGATGAAAAGCATCAACTGAAATTTTCCAGTACCTCTGAAGTAATTCTTATTACTGTAATAGACTGACTGGAAATAATCTCCAATGTGGACTGAAATCATTTTTAAAAACTCCATATCAAAATACTAGATAAAAGAAATCTGTGTCTGCTTCTCACAAGGAAATATATTTTCAGCATAATATACAAGTAATATAACAAGATTACAGTGAATGACCACAAACACAGATCAATACATGCATAAATTCTAAAATAACAGGTGTATAAATAGTACCCAAGCCCTATATTAATACACAGTATATACTCCTTGGATGTTAACATTGAACCGTATTTTCACATGCATACAATTATACAGATGGTAAATACCACCTTGTTGGCCAGGTGTCTTGCATAAGACATAAAAACAGATGGAATTGTTAAGTAGGATAACAAAGAAAAATGTCAGGTATTATCATGTATATGCGTTCAATAAAAGACAGGTCTTACAATGTTTTGGTCATTTGGCAGAACATATTGAGTAGCATGGATATCATATGAGTAAAATGGTACATCACCTTCCTGTTGCAGGAATGGCAGTAGAATTGTAATAAAACATAAACATATGATGAAAGTGAATTTATACATTTTTGTGTTCTGGAGAATTTAAGAGCATTATGAGTCAAAATTACACATGTGTCATCAATAGAGGAGTGTGGATGACCTTCCAACACCACATTAAAGTGTCAGTCAACCATTTTATGTTTAGTTAAAATTAGGAATAAATTAGAGATAGAACAACCACATTACATAGAACAAACAGCTTTCCAGTAATAGTATAAAGCTTTCATTAGAATGAGAATAAATGTATCTAAACCTAAGAAAAAACAACAAGACTATGCATAGAATCAGAGTAAAGAAATTAGCTTTGAAATAGGAGAACCAGTATACTTTAAGAATCACCAGAGAAGGCATAAATTAGATAAAAGGTGGAAGCCATATTATACAGTTATAGAAAGAACAGCTTATGGGTGTAACTACAAAGGCACATGCTGTCGATCTTTGCAGTGCAAAGGTTAATGAATTGAACAATTCAGAAGGTAGAAATACACTGATATGAAAGGTTTTGTTAGCGGCATTTGTGAGTGACACTGACTCAGAGGAGGGCAGAATAGTAGATCTGCCACCCAATATAATCGATAGGTTTCAGAGGGTGTGTGAAAACCCTGAGAATGAATGCACTGTGCCTCTGTTAGAGAGAGCAGTGACACAGTGGGAGCTACATAAAAATATTGAAGTCATTAGTGAAGTTATTAGTAAAAAAAAATATAATACAGAAATTTATGCATCTGTGAAAACATTAGGGTAGCAAAGGGTGTTTTTGTAAATTTCTTGGCTATGCGTCCCTAAAACCAAGAAGTGATAAGGAAGAGAAAGAGTTGGTAGTAGGGGAGATTAGAAGAGAAATTTTTTTTTTTACGTTTAAGAATGAAAAGAATGTGAAAAAAACAATAACAAAAAAGAAGCAGAATCAAGAAAGTGTTGAAAATAAAAAATATTCAGGCAAAGTCTGTCTAATGAGTGTACTGATTTCCCAAAATAATGGGCTTATTTAAAATTTTATTGTGGAAGACTTCAATGAAATTGAACTGACACTGTGAAATGGATCCAAAATATTGGTGACAGAAAAAAAAGGGGAAAGTTGTGGATAGCAACACAGTCAAATTGCTCTGCACCATTTAAGAAGACAAGAACACTATGAAGACTGTTGATGTACAATGCACACTCACTGAACTTATGCATGCACATATGTTTGAAAAGAAAAAGAGAACAATATTTCTTCAATTTACTCCCTAAAAAAAATCCTCATCATGATATCACCAAATGGAGGCAAAGTTATTTTACTTTTGTGCATAGTTTCTGTATCAAAATATCTACTCTCTCTCTCTATATATATATATATATATATATATATATATATATATATATATATATATATATGTATGCATATTTTAAAGGTAACAAATCCATTGGTATATAATCCAAGTGGATCCTAGTAATATAAAATTTTAAAACTGATCCACAAAAAGAGCTCAATGTATTTATTATTACAGAGCAATATAATTAATAAACAATAAAATACAAAATCACCTCATATGTGGAATAGTCTA